ACTTTGGTTTCAAAAGAATAATTTTTTATATCATATATTACATCTCCTTCTTTTGATATAAGATAAGAATGTCTAGACAAGGCATTTAATAAGACTTATTATTTTCTATAAAATATATATTATTAAATACAAAATTTAACAAAGACATGCTCTAACAAGTTAATATGAAATACTTAAGATTTTGTAATGAGAACAAATTATCATGGAATCAAAAGCATCTTCTAAGTAGTGATACTATTTTTAGAATGAATCTATAATATATATATATATATATATATATATATATAATTTTTATAAATAAAATCTATTAAAAGTATTATTTAATAAAATTTAATTAGATAGAGCCTATTATCTATATCTATTTGTAATTGAATTATACTTAATACAAAGTCTACTGGATTTTTTTAATAAAAAAATGACTTTGAAAATATTCAAAGCCACAAAAGAAGAATTGAAGTAAAAACAATTTTTGATCCTTGGAACTTTTGAACTAATTTTAAATCTTTATACCATTCTAATTTTTGTTTAGAAATTAATCAAGTAAGTAGAGTGGCAACTTAAAACAACTTGTTAATAATTATCTAATAAAAATTTGTAAATTCTAAAAAAACAAATGGATATCACGTATAGTTCTTCAATTTTTCTAATCTATAATGATCTAAATATTCTTAAAATTTTTTCTTAAATTATAATTTAAATTTATTTATTCCAAAAATTCTATATAAATTATATAAAAGGTATATTTTTCTATTATGATATATTATTTTATATTTCTAAATTTTTTAATATAATACAAATAAGTTCTTTATGTTTTTTAATATTTTTATAATAGTTAAGAATGTTATTTAAGTAAAATACAAGAAAACTATCTAGATATTCATAAAATATATCTTTCATCAAGTATTGGTAAGTAGTTGTCACTAATATACTTATTTACTCTAATAGTTATTTATATAATATAAATAGGTAGAAATAGGTAAAAATAGGTTAATTTGATAGTATTTTATAAAAAAAGCTTTCTAGAAGCTTAATAGACATATTTTTGCCTTTATATGTGTCTATAAGTAATTGATAGGTTAGATACTTAGTCAATAAATTAGCCACGTATTACATGTGTTGATAGCTTGTAGTACAAGCTAACAATGTCATATACATATATAAAACTTGCCTTACAAGTTAAGACACATGTCTTATAAATTGAATACATGTCAAAGGTCCTATAGAATGTTGTCACATAGCTTCTAATTAGATAGTATATATGGAAGCAAGAGTGAAGCCTTCTTCACTCTTATCAATGTTTTTTTAGTTTTTACTCTTATTTCAAGACTTTTTAGTCTTCTTGACTTTGGCAATAGCTATTCCAATTTTAATACTATATTAGTTTTAAATAAACACCTATTCTTTTTGAATTACATAAGAGTGTATTGAATTTTTGATTCTTTGAGATTCATATCCTTGATAATAGTTGGATTATTCATAAGTCCAAAAGAAATGACATTATATTCAAAATAACTATATCTAATTCAAAATTTTGTTTTTTATTCAATTTCTTCTTTAATACATATTATATTATATGTTCTTTGTAGATATATTTTAATATAGGTCTTAACTCTATCTGATTGATGAAGGAGTCTTAATACCATAGGCAAAAGATATAATTCTTTATAGAAAATTTATTAAGTCTAAAATAGTCTAAATACATTTAGAAGGATCCATTTTTTTTCTTTACAAAGAAGATTGGCATACTTTGAAGAGATTTTTAAGGTCAAATAAAATCCTTTGCAAGATTTTCATCAATATATTCTTTTAAAGTAAAAAATATATTTTTAAAATAAATTATAAATTTATCCAAATGGTAATTGTCTTTTTTTTTTAAGTTCAATTGTACAATGATAAGATCAATGTTTTAGCAATTCATCAACATTCTTCTTTTCAAACACATCTTAATATACTTCATACTACTTTAGGATTCTATTGCAACCTTTAATTGAATAAAGATTTGGTAATGCAAAAATGAAAAAGATTTATTTTATCTTTTGCAACTTGTATAAATGTCTTTGCTCTCATAAATAAAAAGTCCAAATGGTTAGATGTCATTAAAACTAGATCTTAAAGTGAATTTTTGTAATTTCTAATTAATATCAAGTTTATATAATTCAAACCAAGAAAGGTCATGTTCTACTCAATTCAAAGGATATTAGATGATGTTTACTATGATATTAGATACTTGATCTTTTAATTCTATTTTAAATAATTTATTTTTTTCTATGGCATATCTAAATGCAAGTAATTGTCTATCATTAACTTCTACTAGAATTAATTGGTTTTTCTTTAAAAATATAAATTCTTGCTATAATACAAAGTCTTTATCCATAAAAACATGTTCAGGCTCTAATATTTAAGAATTTATGATTTAAAGTTATAATAACTATATAAAGTTTAAATCAAGATATAAAACTTGATGGTAGTACGAAAAATGTATTTAATGGTCTAAAATTGTACAGTTGTAAGGTTCTTATTGTAATTAGGCATCTTTATTCTTTTACTTCTTCACATTAAAATTTAATTTTCTTGTATTGAATCTTATTGATTTTGTGTAACAATCTTGTATCTTATGATTTGATTTTCTAAAATATAAATGTAAGTTTTTATAATAACCTCTATTTTATTCTTTAAGTGTCAATTGCTTCAATTAAGATGTATCAATTTGCATAGGTTTTGGCCTTAATAAATAAATTTTTAAAAACTTGGGAATTATTATTATAACTTGATTTATTCTTCTTTAGCTATATCTTTATTTTTAGTATCTTTCAAAGAGTTGATTGTTGTATGCAATAATTTGAATGATAAAGTGTCTCAATTAATTTATATTTATATTTTTAATAATAAATCTTTAATATGATTCTTTAATCTTTATAAAAATTCTTTGCTAATGGCTTCATTATTTCAATCCATATTATAAGTAAGATTTTGGAATTTGAAAATAAATAGTAGCTAAACATGAATCTTATTGTAAAGAATGAAATTTATTTATGCTATTATTTTTTAAATTATTTTTCTAAATATAGTCATATATACTAACAAGAATAAATGTAGATCATATGTCAATCATAAATCATTTTTTATTAAGTATATAAACCAAGAGAGAGCACTCTTACGTAAGAGTGCACTTATAAATCTAACTTCAGTAAATCTCTCAAGATATTGAAATAGATGTAATCTTAAATAGATCTTGACTTGTTGTAGAAATCTTTGAATTTTTTTTACCTTGTTCTATCATATTTCTTTGTTATGCTAATCTTTGAATCCTTCATACTTATAGCAAGACCTTTTGGATTCACTTCTGAAGTTGATCAACTTGATTCTTTTAGTTGCACAACTTCTTGGCATAAAAATTAACCTTCATTATTGACTTCTTCTACAGGCATAAAAGTGGTACTTCTATAGTTGACAATGCTAATACATGAAATTTCTATCCTAAGAGTATTGGCAAGCTTGTAAAGGTTTGAAATAGCTACAAACTTACTCACTTTTATTGAATGTAGCATCCATAATTTGTTTTTCTTTTTATTTCTATAGTAAACCACTTTAATCAATCTACAAATACAATTATAGGAGAGTAATCCACAACCTTTGATATTAAATAAAAAATTCTACAATTAAAAATAATGTATATTTTTTTAAGATAAGAATCAATGTTAGAAAATGAAAAATGTTAATTTAAAGGTAGGTAGTCCAAAACCTTTAAAATACAACAATAAAAAGTGAGCTAATCCATTCACTTCTATATTAAAACAAATTAGAATCCTTATCAAATTATCAAAGATATGAATCACAAAAAAAATCTAAAAATAAAAATATATTCTTATATCATCAAAAGAAAGAAAGTAAACAACTAAAGATAGATATAGAATTGCAACTAGAATGACTATTGCCAAATGCAAAAAGACAAAGGAGACTTAAGCCAAGACATAACACAAACAAAATGTTGATAAGAATGAAAAAGACTTCACTCTAGTCTCCATATAAACTATATACTATAGAATTATGTAGTTATGTCCTTAAGACCATATAACACATGTCCAACTTGTGAAATACATGTCTAATTTTTAAAGCAAGTTTGTAACATGTGGCCAACTTATTAGCCAAATTGTCAACCTTTCCAACACTTATAAACACATATAAAGTCTACAAAGATTTTAAGAAGCTTTCTAACAAGATATAAATAATTTAACCTACTTCTATTTACTTCTATTTAATTCTACTTATTTAAATAAATATGAATATGACTATAAGTTACAACTATTTTTTTAACTATATGAGCACAAAGTCCAATTGTTGTGACAACAATGGCATGGTTACACATTTTATACAACCTGCAATAGCAATTACAAAGAACAAGCTTCAACATGTACTCTACTTTCATCTCAAGTCTTTATAAAATTTGAAGTTTACTAAACAATTAAACAACATTAAATCGATAAAGAAGATGATAGCAAGGCTTCCTCTTTCTATCATTGTCTTTCCATTTTTATTATAGTTTTTTCATCCTTGACATGAACTACATGTATCATTGTTTCCATATTTGAATTGAAAAAGTTTACCTACTCGTTTAGCATTCTGGTCAATTCCATACTCATGCTGTTCAAATCAATCGGAATTGGCACATAATAACCACCAACCACAACCATTACACCACGTCTAAGCAAAACAGCTACGATCAATTCATAAACGACCTTTATGTCTTGACCACCACAAATTAGTTTGTTCATTCCAAGTTTTCCCGGCTAACCAGGAAAAACAACGTCCTCTGCATCAACAGTAGCAGAACAAAAAATAACTTACAACTTATAATCAAACTATGACACATAATGTATGAATTTTAACCAATACCGTGGCTTGCAACAATCAATTCCCAACACCCAAAGCATAAGCCTGGAACATTAGGTCTATAAAAGCAATAAAAAACAGACACAACCTCTTCATGCAAAACACCAATGTGCAACTTAAGTAACCAGGAGAGTAATTCAAATTAACAAGACGTAGCTCTGTCGATTAACCGGCAAAAGCAACTACAAACTAAATTCCATTCATTTCACAACCACCTAAAATTTACTGAAAATCTCATCCTGGCTCAAAAAGAGGCCAAAACAACCCCATTTCACTGCTTTGCAGCTTGATTAGGTTTCTTCTGTCGTTTCCTCGGTCTACTCTCTTCTCTCCTCTCTGCTAACTTCTTCCTAATATCCAGCACCTTTTGCCCCGCATCCTGGAACATTGCATCTGACCGCATTGCAAGCATGCTCTGCCCCACACCCAACCATATCCCAATCATCACGTGTCCACATTTTCTCCACCCACATCCATCTTCCGCATCACACCCTACTGCCACCACTCCCACTACTCCCAATCACCGAAACTCGACCCTCCACCCGCAACCTCCACCCCCGACTTCCATAAAAAAATAGATTCTGCATACCACACATCCCAAACCTATTCCATCCATGTACCCCAACCACATCCCCATTCTTACCTGTACAAGCGCCATTCCAGCTGAATTGTATCCCAGGACATCCTTCAATTTCTGCACACCAATCCCACGCACTCCGCTTTCATTCAAACCGTTCCACTTCACACCTCATTCCATTCCACGCCCTCACGACGTCGCACTGCCTATACTTTCACTCTAACTGCATCCACAACTCTTCCTCCCAATCAAATCCGATCACTAACCTGTACTCCACCATGTATCACAGGATGAAGCCCGGTTAAAGTGGCGCGGGCCGACGAAGTCGCAGTCAGCTGTGAATGGTGGATTCTAACCAGCATCACTACCACCCGGCACGCAAGCTCCACCTGCCATACACAATTGCAACATCTCCCACCCTGTAAGCTTCTCATCCACCGTTCCCATCATGCAGCCATACTACATCACACCACCCGCACTTCTCTCCCAACATCGTTAGCGTAGCAGGTCACATCTGCACTTGCGTTCACAACGCACCTGAGAGCCCGAAGCAATCCATCCTTGGGTGTAGCTCAGCAACTTCAAAGCATCGTTGAATGGCAGCGACTGTGGCAATCAAAACCGATCCGCCGTCAGTCGCCCTCCCCATCAAAGACATTTCGGACACCACTTCATCCCCAACGCTATTCTCAAATCTCGCACACGCCTTTCACAGCTACATCATGCGCTAACATCCTACAACCCCCCCTTCTAACCACTTCCTCCAACGACTTCCTCCGAACTCCCTCATCAAACTGCCACTACGTACCAGAAGTGCTTGTTCCAGATCGCTCGGTCGAACGCTCGAGATAGACCGCAGAACGTAGTCTGACGGAGACAGCCCCAACATCAACACGTTGGCTTGAAATCCATCCTCTTTCCCATTCGTCGACTTCTGCAATATATATCCACTACGCTGTCAGAGCCCCGTCTCTCACCACCCCACCACGCTTGCTACCGTCCCGCTCAACACTCACACCCAACTTCGTACCCACACCAACCCCTCCAACTTCACCACACCATACGATTTGCCGCAACCCTTACACAGGTTCAGCCTCCCTTCCCAACCACCTATCCACTCTTCACATTCGCGCATGTCTCTCTCATCTAGCATACTCCACTCGCTGTGTATCTCAAACTCCCATCCATCCATCCATCCATCCATTGTACTCCAACCGTCATTCCACAAATCTGTCACACGGCCCCAACCCACATCCCTGCACACCCTGATACCTTGTGAACGCGCAGTCGTTCGATTTCCGAGTCCGCCATATCCACTGCTTCGATGATACTATCAGCGGCAGACAGCGTTTCCTGAGTACGTTTGCTCCCCACTTCTACGCCCTGATCAACTCCATCGTCTCGTGTGTTGTCGGTTGCCTCGAACATCGTTTCCAGCCTCTTCTCTCTTTCCTCCTGCACAAACCCAGTGCCTCCTGGTCAGCCCCCACCACATCAAACTGTCGCTCCCTTCCATACCCTATTTCCACACCCACGCCACACTTTTCCGTACCACACCTCAACCCCCACTCCTCTCGTCCACCAACTCCATCCATGTGCAACAATGCCACAGTTATATCTCCATCCCTGCTTCAGCTCAACCAACATCTTCAAACGTGATACTCCAAGCCACCTTGCACGTCATTCCTCACTGCTATATGTAATCCAACTTACCTCGATAAAGAACGGCTCCTCCGTGCGGTCCAACCGCCGAATCGAACGGTCCTGAGATCCAGTCACCAAGAAGTCGCCGTGCGGACTCACAGCAAGGCACCATGCTGCCGCATGATGCCCTTCTAACGTCAGCAGCAGTTCAAACTTGTCCGCATCCCAGTACTTCACAACTCCATCCTTTCCGGCACTGAACATGTAGTGCGTCTTTGGCACGAACTGAACTGCCGTCACACTGCCAAAACCGCCAATCCCACATCGTCAACACAACCACTCATCCCACCTTCACCCACTCAATCCCTTGCTCCGCCTACTCCATGCATCCCATCACCTCGTGCACTGATCCCCACATATCACCTTGCTCACGCATTGACCAGCTCCTCCACACCACCCTGGGATCTATGACAACCCCAGCACAACCACCTATCCTGCACTCACCCATCACTCAAGCATCCCCTCCCCACAAACTCCAAACCTTCCTTGAGGCTGTCCTCTACCTGTCACCATGTGCAAACAGAGACTTCCGGCAATCACCGAAGTCCATCCCCCATATCTTCACATTCTTGTCGCCTGACCCACTCGCAAGCAGTGCTCCATCTGAAGATATGTCCATTGACAGCACTGGTAGCTTGTGCCCGTACAGTGAAACAAAGAACTTCAGCGTGTCCGTGAAGAATATCTGCATTTCCACCACCGCACCCGCATTCAGGACCACCACCCGACATTGCAAGCATCCCACAGCAACCACCACCGTGCACAAACACCCACACACTTCCACAACACCAGTCACTGTACTCCCAGCCTTTCACGTCAACTCCTCAGACCAACGATGTCCACCGAACTTGCACAAACAACCTCCCACTCACGCCTGCCAGCAAAGTAAACACACCGTCCACACGCTTCTGTGCCCAAAACCCGTCTCTCCGCCTTGCGAACGACTTGGTCCCTCGTCCCACTACCGACTGCCTTAACCCATACTCAAACACATTCCGTTACCATCCAACGACCCAAATCCGCCATCCACTACCTTTATCGTGGAATCAAGAAGCGCCACCGCAATATATCTAGCATCAGGACTCAGCCGCACGCACAGTACGTCATCTGCCATTTGCAATGTGCGAGTGTTGCGTATGCTCAGCTGCTTGCTTCCCACCTGCACACCCACATCCATCGTGTCAGTCTGCTGAAAGCACGCCGCTACTGCATCAACTCGCCACACCACCTCCACCAACTCATACCTGCATCCGTTGCAAGCGTAACCCGTCCCATACGCAACGCTCCTATCACTACCTCCGTGAACACCAGTCCCCGTCTCTACTATTACACAGGGTCTGAATGTCCCGGGTCAATATGTGTGGCTTGCTCATTCTCACCAACCAACCCACCACACCCACACGTTGCACAACTTTTCCTCCTCTTTGCTTTTCGACTCCCCACCCCGCGTCTCATCTCCACCCCCACACACTCAATACACCCCACTCTCTCACCACTTCTCACCATCCACACAAATCTGCCCACGCCTACAAAACCCTGTCCCTCACCTTATCATCCCCTTGCACAAGCTCGTAGTCCCAGAACTTCACGTTCTTGTCCGCACTTCCGCTCACGAATCCTGAACCATCCGGCATCGGTGCCAGGCTCCACACAGCACCTGAATGGGCTTCTAACACTTGCGTGCGTTCCGCGCCAGCTATGTCGAAAATCTCGATCCCTCCAGCCTTCGTACCCAGAATTGCCTGTCGATTTCCAGGCACCACAGCTCCGCACAGCCCATACCCGGACTCCACAGTCCGAAGACACACACCCGATCTAGGATTCCAGATCTTCACCGCATTGTGACTTGCCGTCATCAGGGTCGTGCTGTCTGAACTCAGCGCTGCCATTCGAACGTCCGACCGATGCCCTGGAAGTTCGATCGAATGCACCCGCGAACTCGACTCCTCCTGCAGCTCCTGCACCTCCAAGCTGTTGTTATACACCGCTATCCCGATCGTTCCTAACGTCCCTTTCTTCGCCTCCGCAGGACAAAACGAAAACGATGTGATCTTCTGCTTCAGTCTCACTAGTTGCAGTCGCTGGAACTCGTCTGCAGCTGATATGTTCCCTGCCATGCTCGACGCATTCCCCTCCTGCTCGCCCTCGCCACCGAACCCTTGCCCATCCGTTGCTTCTCCTTTCCCAGCCTTCGCGGCTTTCTCCCGACGACGCTTCTCCCGTCGCTTAGCCTTCTTCGCAGCTTCAGACTCGCCCAGAACCCGGAATATTTCTATCGACTTCCCGGCCACCTGACACCCTAGCAGCGTACCGCTCGGATTAAACTTCAGGGTTGACACCCGATCCGCGCTCTGACGAGCAATGCTTCCCATCGGAACCAAAATGTCCCACTTGCTCCTCGGACCCACTTTACTCCCATCGTTCGAATCATCTGCGTGCTCCATGTCTTCCACCACGGCATGCACCTCCTTCTGCGCTCCCTGCACGTTCACAACCACGGTATGTTGGAAATCGTGTGCACATCAACCATGCCACGGATCCACCGCATCGACGGACTCCCGATGCTTCTGACTAGCTACATTCGCGCAATTGCCGTCCGAAACGCGCATCGTCCGCAAAGAGCAACTGCGTTGCAAAGCCAGGAGCGGCACAAATCGCGAACATATGTTCATCGACACTACCCTGCGCTTACCTCGTCGTTAACCACACCAAACACCCGAATTTCTGCATCTGCCGATCCGGTGACCACAAAACGTTCCGATGGATCCACATCCAACGCCCACACCGCGCTCCGATGACTCACTATCCTTTGCACGCAGCTCTGAGTATCCAAGTCCCACACGCGAACGTGGGTGTCCTTGCACCCGCTCACCAGCTTCTTACTCCTCTCCAGAAACACCAAATCCGTCACCTGTCCATCACGTTCCATACAATCCCCTCGTCAACACGTGCAATCTTCATGCTCACCGACCCGCGTACTACTGAGTACAACAGCACCACCCGCCACAATCTCCACCCATCACGGAGTCACTCCCCACAACCGACACCCCGGTTCCCACCATGAAATCACAACTCGACAAGATTCGGGTCGACGGGAACCTGGTCACGGTGCCCCTTCAGACGGTACAGCCCAGTCTCCGCCACAGCATCCCACACGATGATGTCCGTGTCCGTGCTTCCGGACGCCAACAGAGACCCCGTCTTGTTGTAGGCCAAAGCGGTGACCGCACCTTTGTGCCCGGTAAGCACCATCTCGCAAGTGCCCTTGACAATATCCCACACCCGAATCGTGCCATCCTTGTATCCCACCGCCACCTACGCCCACATCCCCACGTTCTAAGACACAGAAAAAATCGCCACCATTGCGCACACAGCCTCAACAGAATCCAAAACCTCACAACTCACAGCACGCTTCTCTCACCAGAGAAGCAGACGAAGGCGCGGTCGCGATAGCGGTCACGAGAGGCCGCGCTCCCGCAGAAGGCACGAGCAGGTTGACGCACCGCCCCTGCTTCACATTCCACACCAGAAACTGCTCCAACGCGCCCGCCAGCAACAATTTGCCGGAGTTGTCGAAGCAGACGCGCGCCTCACCCGAGGCAACCAGCCCGAAGGCGGCACCTTCCTCGTAGCGGAGATACGCCTTCACCATGGCTGGGTGCAGGACTCACGGTGCGGGGCTGGGGAACGTGGAGGGCCTGAAACCCTAAACCAGACTCGCCATGGCTGCAATAACGCAGCAAAACAGAGAAGAGCGTAGCATGGCCCCTTAAACCCTGAGACTCCCCTAAACCCTAAACCCTCGCTTCCGTCCACCTCCCCTTTTGCTCTCCAAATTCAAATAAATATATAAATATATAGAATTAAACCTTAAACCAAATTCATATAAATAAACAGAGAAGTTGAGTTAATATTTTATGAGTCAATATTTTTGTTTTAAAAAATAAAACCTGAGGCTTGTTTTTTTATAATTTATTCTTTTAAGTTTTCTTTTTCCTATGTACATATTGAAAACTATATTCTAATCCATATCCCAGAGCAATTTACTAGCGTTTACATGTCATTTTCCAGGCATCACTGGTTTGACTTGTTTTTTTCTTTTTTTTTTAAAAGACTGATATAATAATGCTTCAAATCAATACTTAAATAATAAGGAGAATGGAAAATAATAATATTGAAATTTTGAAAGAAAAGAAAAGAAAAGAAAACACATTAAATTTGAATTAAAGTACAGAAAAAGTTTGTAAAACCCAGATATTCTTAAGGATTAGGAATGCAAACGCACTAAATGCTACAAGTTTATATTTAATTGTCTTCCATTGAATTTTAAAGAATCCTGTGAAATAAAACAATAATAAATAAGCATTATAAGATATTAGAAGTTGCTCGAAGAATTTGAGCATTTAAAATGGAATGGAATAACAATATTGATATCACTGTACAGCAAAAGATTTTGTAGTGGTAAAGTTTCTTTTTCTTTTGTCTTTTTTCTCTCCGTGTTGCATATAATTTATCCAACACATGGTGTTGATTTTGTTGTGAAATAGTTTGTTCTTATTATTATTATGATTGGGACAGTTTGAAAACTTAGTGAATTTACAAATAACGATGAACAACTATATTGATTCCATGAGAATTATTACAATTCCCGTTCACTTTGCAAGCGAGAAGTTTGGAGGATAAGACTTTTAACAACATCATGAATATTTCCAGCAAATCCATTGAAATATTCCAAATTATAATTTTTTACGCAATTTATTCATCAACCATAGGAACTCATACACTATGGTCGAATGATGGAACTATTGTCCTCAAGTTAAATTTCATATGTTCTTGATACTTAGAAATACAGACTACAATGCAAAAACAGAACATGGACAATAACTTGCATGTGTAAACACTTGTGCCTAAAGCAAGAAAGTTGTAAATGACATAAAATAATTTATAAATATCATAAAATAACAATTCCTTAATTTGTTTTATACACTGCTACACAATAGCTAAGCATGCCATTGTTTTTGTTATTATTATCATTGTCATTATCATTAAGGTAATAATTTTCAAAGTAACACGTATAACAGTATTTTAATACTAAAATTTATTACAACATCAATCATTAATTATCCAATAACAAAAGACGATGTTTTGATAGTTTTGCACAACACAATATGGTATGTAACATAACAAAAGGTACAATAAAACTAATATTGGTCTAAAATTCAAAGTAACTTCTAAATTTGAATCAACATGCAATAATGAATAATTGTATTTGATTCATTTCACTCATTGCCACAAGTAGGAAAACATATTACAACATATACTTTCTTTAGGTATAATACCATTACTGCATGCCAATTTCTCCTTGGCAATGACACTCCCACATAGTCAAATAGTAATAAATTAAAGCCCAATGTGGTACTTAATTTAGCCGTCAAAGGCGCACCTTCCTAGAGCTTCAAGACCTTGCCAACGTGGACGGATGCCAGGTCAGAAGTCGTGAAGGTGTCGCCCACCCGTAAAATTTCGCCACGTCATTCATCCGCGTCAACCGACCAATCATCCTCCGTGGTCGTCATTGATAGGTTTAACGCCTCGGTAATGGAGCTCAGCGATTGACGGTGGAGTTCGTCGTCCTGCCCTCCACGCACGTCTCCGTCGCTCTAAAGCCTGAGCTTCGTACTCCCATCGCCCGCTGAAACCATGACGACGACGAAGAAAAAGAAAGCGAGAGGCAGCGCACTTAGGGCTTCGTAACCTCGCTTAACACCGAACGATATCGAGTTTTTTCTAAATGAAATTACTCGCGGGGAGGAACGGGTGCTGGTGGGTCGTAGCAGGGAGTTGGTGTGGGGAGTGAAGAGGGAAGGGGGTTTGTCTGGATTGCGCGTTTGGGAATGGGGTTGCAGGGGAGAGGCTGTCCCGATTTGTGATTTTGGTGGTAGGGTTTGCCGGTGTGAGGAATTTTGGGAGGGAGAGATGGAGCAGGGAGGGAGTCAAAGGCAAGGACATTACCACAGTCATGGCCAGCACATGCCATCGCCGTCGCAAGAGAGTTTGACGTTGGGGAATGTGCCTCCGCCTCCGACGTTTGGTGCAGGATCTCTTGACCCGGCGAGGGCTGCTGCCGCTGCCGCGCAACCGTTGTTGCGTCATGCAGTTTCTGCGACACCGGGTCTTGTGCCTACCCCCTCCTTGCATTCTCATTCCCGTCAAGGCCATGATCATGTGGAGCATCATTCTGATGGAGGTGAGGATCTTGGATTCTTTCGCGTTGCTCTTATCCGATCGCGGTCGACTGTAGCATCCTATGGCTTTGCCGCGGGCCCGCTGTGGAGTGGTGCTGAAATTAAAAAAAACCGGGTGCATTGACCGGGTTTATGCTCTTGGTTATTGTTGGAGTAAATGGCGAGTGGATTTTGCATCTGGTGTGATGGTGTGCAGGAGAGTTTCCAGCTGCGAATGGTGATGAAGGGTTAGGAGCTTCGGTGTTGCGGACAGCGCAGTCAATGCCGGTCATTCCCATGGGGCCTCCTCCTGCTTCGAGCGGAAGCCTGTTGCCCAGCTTTGCCACCCCCTCGCAATATGCAGGTCCTCCTGCTCCTCCGAAGTTCAGCAGCCCTCCTCGGCCATTACAACCTGAGTACGATGTGCAGCCGCCCAGAATACCTTCCAATTTCGCAGAGATTCCGTTAGCTCCTCATTCACCAGCACAGCGGGCTGATAATGGACTTGCTAGCCCATCAGGGGTTGGCAGCTATGGAGGAGTGTCGGAAGAGGAATTCGATGCGTACAACTTGTCTGCCTCCGCGCCCTTTTTGTTGTTTTCAGCTCAAAAGGTTCTCTTGCTGGCCGATATGGACCTTCTCTTCGATTTTAGGTTTTTCGTTTGTTTTGCGACATTCTGCGACTCATCACAGAAGTCTGCGTTAGTCGAAGCTGTGCATGTGAGCCCTTTCGGAAATTGGTGTGGATGGCTTTAACGGAAGCAATTGCTTTCTTTATCTGTTGTTCAGGTATTGAGTGAGAGGAAGCTCATGAACACACCCAGCTTGGGGTTTGGAGCTCTGGTCTGTCCAGGAAGAGAGATTGAGCCAAGCCCACCGGTAATTATGCATGAGCCCTTTCGTTGTCAAAATTGCGGAGCGTATGTCAATCAGCACAGCACTATTGCACCACGTACTGGATCCTGGAGCTGCACGTTTTGCAAAAAATCTAATGAGAGCAACGGAGAGTATAGGGCTGCTAGCATTGATGACCTGCGTAATTGGCCTGAGCTTGCGACAAGTGTTGTCGATTATGTCGATTCAGGTTCTGTTTTGACCCAACATGTTTTGGTTACATGTTAGCATATTACCATGTCTCGTTTTAAAATTTTCTGATCATGTTGCCGCCCTCTCTCTTATGTAAGCTTCTATAGGTGAAGTTGGTGAAACTAGTAAGCCCAATACCTGCCCGTACTACGAAACTGTAGCAAATTGATGGAAGTCTTTTAATTTCCCTTGGGCCAACAACGCAGTCTGATGCACATAGGTATATATGAAGTGTTGCTTGGAGGGATCTGGAAACTTCTCTTTACCAGTTTTAGGGAATTTGGAATGCAGGTACACGACGCCCTGGTTTTGTGTCTGTGTCTGAAGCAAGCATGAGTGCTCCAGTGGTGTTGCTAATCGACGACAGCTTGGACGAAGAACATTTGGCGCAGTTGCAAGAGTCGTTGCACACATTTTTAGACTCCCTTTCTTCTGCGACACGGATTGGGATTGTTACTTACGGACGAACAGTATCTGTCTTCGATCTTTCAGAGTCGGGGGTCGCTGCAGCAGATGTCCTTCCTGGCGATTCCGGCTTAAGTCACGAACTTAAGCAGATGCTAATATATGGAACAGGAGTATATCTCGCTCCTATTCATGTGTGTCTTTCTATAGCTCACAGCATTGTATCTGCTCTACGTCCGTATCGAGGGGGCTTAGCTGAGGCAATGAGGGAGCGATGCATAGGTACAGCTGTTGATGTGGTATTGGCCCTTATTCAAGGTCCAGCAACAGAGCTTCCAGTGAGCACATCCAAGCGTTCCGGTGGAAGGAGTCGCGTGCTGCTCTGTGTTGGTGGACCAAATACGTTGGGTCCTGGATCGCTTCCTTACTCTACGAACCACCCAAATTATCCGTATATGGAGAAAAAAGCTACAAAACATATGGAGCATCTCGGGCAGGAAGCTCGACGACTGGACATAGCAGTGGATATTTTGTGTGCTGGGACCTGTCCCGTGCGGATCCCTACTTTACAACCATTAGCGAGCGCCTCTGGAGGTCTGTTGGTATTGCATGATGACTTTGGGGAGGTCTACTGCACCAATTTGCAACGTGCAGTTCGGCGCTCCACAGGTTTCAGAGGAATATTGGAGATTCGCTGTTCCGACGACGTTGCCGTGACTCGTGTAATAGGTGAACTGTTTGTCTAGTTTTCGATGCGAGATGAAGTTGCCTGCTTTATGTTTGTTTAGTGGATCATATGATGTGTCCTCATGCATGCCATTAATGGCGTTCCTGGCGGCAATTGCAGGACCAGGAGAGGAGGCCCATGTAGGGACCCGTTCGGGGCAGTTTCGGAATGATACATCTACAGCAGTGCGCTTACTAAGTGTTGAAGATTGTCAAGCATTTGCAATCATCATAGAATTGGAAGACGATTTAGAAGAAAGTCATGTGCACTTCCAGATTGTTGCGAGATACAGCAGTGTGCACCAAGCGGAAGTGACTAGGGTTATGACCGTGCGCTTGCCAACTACAGACACCTTGACGGATTACTTGCACAGTGTGGATGATGAGGTATTGTTCATAATGATTGAATAGTATGTGCAGTCATGTCTTACTTCGATACTTAGTTAATGTTATTGTTTTTGTCGATGTTAGAGTAGGTTTTTCGAGAATGGATTGGCCAATGCTCGAGCATCTGACACTTGAGCTCGGGATAAGGTCTGAGCTTCTCCCGTTCTGTTCTTAACTCTTTTATGTTTTTGGTATTAACGCAGGTGGCTGCAGTTCTAATAGCAAAGAAGACGGTGTTGGAGGCAAAGACTACGCGAGATGCGGCTGATATGCGAGCGTCTGTAGATGAGAGGGTTAAAGATATTGCTGTGAAGCTTGGGAATAATGCTACTAAGTCTAAGATACTGCCTTTTCCTTCAAGTCTTTCAAGGATGCCAGAACTCTTGTTTCATTTGAAGCGTGGGCCTTTATTGGGCAGCATCATAGGGCATGAAGACGAGAGGGCCGTTTATAGGAATCTTTACTTGCAGGTATGCATGAGATTTTCTTACTTAATGTTGTTTTAGTAACGCGCTGGGCGGTGTGTTTTTTGTAAGTCATGCTTTCTTATTGTGGTCTTAGGGGGGACACTTCCTGATTATGAAGCTACAAATCATGAAAATACTTTCATTGTTTCGTTTTGGCGGGACTGTCCTCCACATTTTTTCATGTGTCTGTGTCTCCACGTGCTGTTACTGGCTGTCGGTATTCTATATGGAAGCACTTCCTGATTTCTTCAGTATTGCAGTTCTTCGAAATTCTCTTCTAACAGGAGAAATAATATAAATTTTGTAGGCGGGATTCGAGTTGTCTTTACGCATGATAGCTCCAAGGTTACTTATGCATCGGGAGGCAGGCACCTTCGAGGAGTTACCTGCACATGACGTGGCCATGCAGTCGGACTCTGTGATTGTCTTGGATCATGGCACTGATGTCTTCATTTGGACAGTGAGTATTTTGCTTCATATAAGTCTGTTCAAGTTTTTGTTCAGGTGATCGGATGGTTCAATAATTTTTTTGTTTAGACAACCTCAAGGAATCCTGACAATATTGTTTAGACACTTAATATTATAAGTTAAGAAGTAGCTATTCGTAAATGGTGGCACCTACATGAGTAATAAATGTCTTTGTGGTCAAATTGTGGTTGAGAATTAAATATGAACTAAGATATAGATTTATTGATTTCTTCTTGTTTGTAGGGTTTGAGAGTTGTGGCGGATGAAGCTAGAAATGCAGAAGCACAAGCAGCTTGTCGTACCCTTGTCCAAGAACTTACAGAGCAGCGTTTTCCAGCTCCTCGGATGCTTTCATTTAAGGTCAACAACCAGACCAAAAGCCTGTTAGCATTTTGAGATTTGACAGGATGTGTTTATGATAATCTACTTCTCAAGGCTTATTCTTTTTCATCGCTCGAGTATCTCAACATGAGCGCTATGGATGCAATTGGGGTATCAATGCTGAAGTGGGAATTAAATTTGTTTCATATTAATGAATAATTACAGGAGGGAAGTTCCCAAGCTCGGTACTTGCAGTCAAGGTTAATACCCGCACACAAAGATCCTCCTTATGAGCAGGTGCGTAATTCCTCTGAAAGTCGGATTGGTCCACTTTTGTGTGTAACTACCTTGGCATCTTTATAAAGTGCGAAGAACAAAATATACGTGTTAGTTGATGATTGTGTCCGTCATAGTATTTAGAAATGTGGTACTCTTGGAAACGTTTTTTTTTTCTAGACATGGCTACTGATCAATGTTGACTGGTCAATAGCAGTAAATGGAAATAATTTTCTGTCTGGATTCTGACTTGGCACATTGTTTTAATGTTCACGTATCCAGGAGGCTAGGTTCCCCCAGTTACGAGTTCTCACCGTTGAGCAAAGAGCGCGTTTGAAGAGCAGTTTTTTGCCCACTGATGATCTGAGCTTCTGTGAATGGATGAGACGCCTTAAGCTTAGTGTTTGATGAACCATGCCATATTTCTTCTTAATTGAACTGTGTAAATGTCGAATTCATTCTTATTATATTTACCTGTCACGTTAGAAGATGTCTTCATGAGCTTTTGTTGACCTCTCAATTTCGCCCGAGACATATACACGTTTTGGTAAATATAGTCCACATATTGGTGATAAGCAGTGAGTCAGCGAAGGTGAAGTTTACATCACCACTATGTTATGGCTTGAAGTGCATTGACATTCATTTTAAGTTGTATTCCACTTATAGGATATGACAAGTCACTTGAATCTCTGATAAGCGTTTTGATGTATCTCATTTTTCATCATCACACAGAAAAAAACGACAATACTAATGAAATTTCATGTTGCTTCAAATCTTAATATCCATACACGTGGAGTAGTGAACTAGTTCGTTGGATTTTCTCTCATTATTTGACCTCAGTCGTACGCAACAAAAGAATTATGTTCATTCTTTACTTCTTGATGATTCTAATGTTTGGTAAACTTAATGTTTTAACTTAATGTGCAATTAAGTTGAGAAATAAGTTCTATAGTCGTCTTGGGTCTTCGCAAATTTCAATATACTATTTTTAGTAAGCTAACTGATTACTTACATATGTAAATTGTCAAAAAGTGATTAAGCTGTGCAACAATTAATGGACAAGCAGATCCATTCAGTTTGCCTTAAGAGTGGTTCACAATGAGAATAAGCAGCATAAATGTTACAATCAGACGACATATTCAAGGTCAATGCATCACCAAGGGATTTGTTAATAAACTTTAAAATGTAGTTGAAACAGTGTTAGCAATGTTACATTGTTTTTGCAATGATAACTGCCTTATTGATTAGAACATGTTTCAAACTTAAATAATGTGGGTCCCAAAGAGGTTGGCAGTTTAAAATCTTTAACTTTGTTTGATAGATAATTTTGTTGAATTATATAAGTACATATTACAAAGGATATATGTGATAGAAATCTCAGTATTTTTTTGTAAATATGATAATGATATGTTTTTATTTTTGATATGGATGTTGCTAATGCTGGAAGAATTTTTGTTATTGCCACAACTTGCCATCTACCACCTACCATCATTAATGATTTTACATTGGTGAACATTGCTAATGTACACCACAATGGATCAAGTGCATATTCTTTATAGATATGTATTTTAATATTTCACAAAGTACATTGTGATGTGCAACACAACTTCAGGACAACTTGTGGTGGCATTAGCATAGACTTTGATGGCAACACCCAAAAAGAAGGAAAGAAGTATTATTTATGGATATAAATTACATAATGACAAGATAGTTTTTCTTGATGATTTTACTACATTATCAACTACCTGAGAAGTGCTTTAAAGATTCCACTATGGTTTTTCATTTAATTTATTTTGCTTCATTACTTCCCGCTCAACTTGACATACTCCTTTTTAAAAAATGCAATACTAAATTGTATTACAGCAAAATGTGTTGTAAAAAGTACTATACACTATGTGAAGAAAGGCAGTATACACTAGTGTGACCAAAAGCAGGCAAAACGAAGGCATTGTCATTGCAGTGGTTTAGTCAATATTTGTTGAATGCAGCTTTGGTCCCTTCAAGTTTTCTGAACTTTCTCTGTTGAAAGAATTAAAGTTGCAGGGACGACGAATTGAGGTCCTTATCATTCCCTCTGATTCGGACACAGATTTCCAAGTTGATGGAAAAACAGAAACTGATTAAACTTGAGCAAAGTTATTCCTGTGTTACAACAGTTACAACAGGCTAACGGGCAATACAGTGACGGTAAAAAATAGTTGCTTGGTGCGCTCTCTGATAAAACAGACGTTATATCAAGAGCTCACGGCAATTGATACACAATGACCTCCCTTTGACACGTAAAAATGGGTTGTTTAAATTCGTAGCAGTCTTAAATGGCAGGTTTGCAGTTAGTGCTTGAGAAGTCTTAAGACGTCACCGACCAGATACAACGAACCTGTTACAAGGACCTGCCGAACAAAATATTTGAGTTAAGCAATGCTCTTTCGGTTCCAGATCATACAGAAAGCGGAGCCTCAGATGATTTTGATAGAATCTTACCGGCACCTCGACAAGGTGCACATAACTTCAAAATCAACGAACGGCAATGAAAAGTTCCAAAAACTTTACTATCCTCCACAGACTTTCCTTTTTTAATAAGATTTAAGACTTGCTCACAAAATGGTGTGAACATCAATACCTGAATCCTTAGATAAGGATGGTGAATTGAACAGTTGCGGAAGAAATCTACAGCAGCTGGTAGTGATCGTAAAACTGCACTTGATGGACCTAAGCAGCTGCCATGTTGCGGCTGTCCTTCCGGGGCATTTCTCAAATCAGACAATAGCTCTATCTGGGATACATGTATTTCCTCTTGAGCAGGAGAGGCATCACTAGATTCACCTGTACATGCAAAACAATACGTTATACATCCCACCGTTGGATGAACTGATATTAGAAACACATTCGAGGGGAAGGCATTGATTAGATCTTACGAGCAGGTTTTGCAAACTCTAGAATAATAGGTAGTTCATCAAGACCTGAAATCTTATTTTGCCATACAGATTCCCAGTGTCGCTGCAATGTCTGTTGCCAAGTTGTATCTACGGCGGTAGTAGATACTTGGGGTGCATCTACAGATGTGTAACTAGAATAAGGTGGTACAAAGAAAGCCGCATGAAGAGGAAACCCTGTCACAGAATCCCAACATTCAGTCATTTCTAGCTCTTAAAGAACTTTCAGATTGTATTGAGGTGCTCAATAGCTATGTTTGGTAAAGAATAGAGGATTTATGGAACATACCATTTCGGGAACACAAATTGACGACAGGTTGTAGAAGTGCCACAGGATCCCGCTTCGGCATACAGTTGAACAAAAGAACCTGAAATGGACAGAAACTTGATAGATCGGATAAGCCAGACGAGTTGTAAACAGTAATAAGATCCAAGCAAGTATGACCGATTAGAAATGAGGCACCGTCTTAAGTGCAGCTGCCTACATGTATATGAAGCAGGTGCTTTGAAACGGAAATCTGGACAGTCCTTCACTTACCCTTCTCACCATGGTGCCTCTGGAATTCCAATCTTGTTCATCTGCGCCCCTATTTGACAAATAATGACTGCCATTCTGCTCCGGTGTTTTCAAGTTTTCTTCGAGTCTTATAGATGAACAGAACCAGTTTGCACAAGCCTCCATACTTTCAGGGCTGTGTGCTCCATCCAGATAAAACGACAAGCATCCAGATGGATCGTGAATAACTTCAGCTCTGCCTGCCCACTTGGTCAACTGTAGACCTCGAACGAACGAATCCGGCAATCTTCCATTACTTAGAACCTGCCAAGTCCCTTTATAAGTCGTTCATAATCATGCCAGGATAGACCTTGTTACAATGTGAAAGAACTCATCTCAAAAGTTAAGTGCAGTTGTCCCTGGCAGGAATCCTGAATATTTTCATTCTATTCAAGTAAACATAACTATCAAAATACACAAAAAAGCTTAGAACAGGCATGGTGGATTGGAGAGTAACCTTCTTAAGTCCGTCGTGAAGCTCAGATGGAGGTCTGGTCATCACCCACTGCTTGCACAATGCAACAGCCAAAGCTGCATTGACGCGTTGGTGTTGACCTCCCAGTCCAAGTTGCAAACCATGCAAGTTATAATTCTCCAGTGGAGGGGCTACTTCTAAAGTAATCTGCAAGCAGTTACGGTAAAAAAAATGAGACTTCATTATACAATGTTCAACCACAAAAAAAAAAAAAAAAAAAAAAAAAACTTCCCAGAAGATGCTGATCATTGATGAAGGATAATTGATTAATCGTGAAAATCTTGAGCTGAACGAAAAGTACCAAATAGCAAAGGTTGACCAGGTTTGGTGCAAAGGGAATAGGAAAAATACCCCTAACTCTTTAGCCCTCTTTAGAAGGGAACCCATAGCTTCATCTAGCTGTGGAGCAGTGAATGCTGGAACACCTGCCTTCAGGCAATAAGCATAAATTAGGCTTGAACTTGAAAACAGCGACAACCTTGTTTAACGAATCCCATGTATGAAACATACTGCTCAGGTGCATGCCACGGTAATTCTCAACGTAAAAACGAAAACATATCAGTTGCTCTATGAAGGGAAATCCAGAATACCGCATAATACTACAGAATATCATGCATACGTAGAATGCCTCTTACAAAAGCAAAGGATACTTCCAGAAAAGGCTTAATAGTACCTTGAAAATGCCAGCTTTTTCCCATGCAATTTTTTCCAATGTATCTCCTAAAGACAACCAGGCCTATGTTACAATTTGAAAGTCGGGAACTAGCAAAGCTTCTAAGTCTCCGCCTGAAAGTTTCTTGTTTCATTTAGACCAAAAAAAGAGCTGCCGTAGCCCCGCGTCCTTTCATTATATAGCTTATCTAAAGGAATTAATAAATAATTGCTTATCACGAACATCACATGTAGTATAGTATAGTACTTCCTAAAAGAACACAAGAAATTTTTAAATAATGTGGCTAAGGTAAAAACTTGAATACCGAGCAACTCCATGTGGTCGAATCCAAGAGACGCGATGCCACAAGTTACAGGAGATTTAACCTGACACAAATCACGGTTGGCTTGTGAATACAGAAAATAAGCAACATATGACATGAACTGGATAGATGTGGAGAGAAAATCCAGAAACCAAGTCCATACATCCTTAGGGACGTCTATTACGCTTCGCAACCAAGAGCCAAAACCAGGTCCATGTCATATACACCATGAAACCTTGGCTATTGTAATAATTTGTCCCAAAAATTCGTAGAACAAGTTATGAAGCTTACAACATTAGTTGCATCTAGGCGACCACCAAGACCGACTTCCAAAATCGCAACATCCACCTGAATACACAGCATTTTAGCGTTGTTTCAGTTAATCAATCGATATTTATCAATGCAAATGCCAATGATCTGGGGTAAAATCTCTGATAAAAGGTCCAACAAAGGATTCAAGAGGTGTAGGACGGCAAAAGCCAAGAAGGGAAGCAATTCTGAAGGTCCACATTCGACAGTCTTAGATTGATCAGACCGGAATTGGAGAATGCGGAGCTCAGTGAGAACATGTATGTTCGGCTGGGAAGACTCACACACCGTATAAGATGAATTCGGAGCATGTTCCAAAACCAAAGCTGGATCTTAAACTAACCTTTTCTTCCGTGAACATACGGAGGCTCAAGAGGGTGCAGAACCGAAAAAAGCCTGGCAACTTTTCATTCACAGCCTAACATGCCACAACAACGAACAAGCCACATCCTGTTGAAACAGAGATAATCGGAACGAAAGCAATCAAAACGAAAATGCACTAAATAAAACTTCAATTGGGACAAAAAGGAACGGAAAAATCTGCAGTGAACCGACATGAACGCCCAATGCCCACTTGAAATAAATGATAACAATGTTTTATACGGAATCTCAAGCTGCATGTGAATTTCATTTGGGACTAAAGTGAAACAAAGTGTACCTTGAGGCGATCCCAACACCACCAGAAGTGATAAAGAAATCGATCCTGGGATATCTCCTCACTATCAGGCACATTCCAACAAGAAAACTCAGTATACCGCCTATAAGTCGTCCACTGTGGCACTATCACTTACAAATAGGTTTTTCTCTGAAGTCATTTGGATCCATGCACAGCAACCGTGAAGGTTCTGTTTTCTTATGCCTTAAATAAGCATATCTGCATAAGCAATGAAGCCATGCGCTGTCCTTCAACGTTCAAAAAACTAAACACCAACCCGTTCAAGCGAAAGCGTTCGCGAACATCCAGGAGATGCGGCGACGTGAAAAGACCAGTTCGGAAGCCAGATTCCCTCAACATCCTTTCTGTGAACGCACACGTGGATCCCTGCACAAACGTGAGTATAGTGACTCCATTAATTTTTCCCGAAATATATTTGCAGCTTCAGAGCTGCTTAGATAATATATGGCCAGACAAAATTGCCTAGTTGTACTTATATCATTTGAAAGCAACTGCTATTCCATCAAAAATGATGATTTAGTTTTGGAAATTTAAAATTTATTAAATTAAAATGAGGTGACTTCAAATGACCAGAGGATGCTGCTTTGGCTAGCATTGCACAGGAATGCAAAATTTCCTATTGCATGTGATTGCAACTAATACCCCACTATAAACTGAAATTGAATATCCGCAAAGCACCTCCAAAAAAACAGAGCAAGGAAACGTGAAAGACAGCTGCCATAAGAAATAAATAAAACGTTGTTGAACCAAGCCACCGCCCCTTCTACAGAGTGCATGTCGAACCTCACGAAACGCCGTACCTTTCCCTTTGTTCCCGCAACGTGAATCACACTAAGACGTGAAAGAGGTTCCTCTAGCTCCAGTACCTGCCACACAGAAATCATTCCTCAATAAGCCTACATTTGAATGACACCAATGCTCACATATGAAAATAATTGGCGCACGATGAAAGCATAGTTGGAGGTAACAAAAGCGGTTCAAAACCCTCAAACCTCCAATCGTAGCCCTTTCAGCTCGCTGAATTAAACCCTACCTACATATTGTTGCACCGAATAAACTTAAGATGACCAAACTTCTAAGGGCTAAATCTACTTGAGACCAAAATGTACCCCTTGAACAAAGATCTTAGAATCATGACTTAAAGATGGACAATCGTCAATCCCAATGATCCCATCTAGTCATGTAAGCAGCATCATAATATTTCCTGAGTGCGGAGACAAAATCTGTAGCTGCCGGAGGAGTGATGAATAACTTCTTCTCCAATTCTGAATTTGATGTGCTCAAAGTCACCCCCAGAATTTTTAGGTGATAGGAAATGAGATTGTAGACTAAAGTGCCAACGCTTACTCCACCAAGTCCAACGTGATAAACATCGTCTACTGTCTAACATTTCAACTCGACAGTTGTGTAGAGAGTGGGAATTCGTGGCTGTGTGTTAAAAGCAGCAATCCTCTCACAGAGCTTTCCTGACAGCCACACTAGAATGAGGAATCCACAGGAAGCGTCAACAAACCTGGAGGCATTTAAAAAGGGACTGGAACTGGTTTCTCCAATTAAGCTCAAAGGTATCAGGGTCAGGTCGTGAAGCGTTAGACTTGCGTGTGATGAGCGAGTTCATCGCAATAACTGCATCTTCGTACGTTCTATTGATGGCGGGCGCCACGGAAACGCCGACATCCGCCATTCTTCAAATGTCGCTCCGCAAACGAAAAACCCACAATCCCCTGAAACTCAAAAAACCTACCTCTTCCCCTGCTCGAGTCGTCAAGCACACATCAAACGCGACAGCGCAACAAAGCTCCCCTCCTCACTTCAAATCCCTGCAACACCAGTCCCTCGGGATTATACACCCTCACTGCCAGCTTCCAACGCACTTGAAACTCCAAAACATAGGGTAAAATCTGTGGCACCCACCTGAGCGGTCACGAGGAGGAGAGATGTTCCCCCATTGCTGCTGCTGCCGCGAATGCTCACGAGGTGAGCTGAGGGGGTGTCTGTCCGTCCAAAGAGGGGACTCGCAACAGGTCCAACTCACATGGCGTTGCTACAGAAGTCAGATAAATTCGGTTGAGTAAAAAGAACACCAGGACTCGGATCTTCCACTTCCTGTGCAGGGAATATTCATTCTGTGCTTGAGTGCTTGGTTCTGTGCGGATCTGGCGATGGCCTTCCTTGCGCCTGTGGCTGCTGGCTACCGTGGCCTGCAAATCCAACTGTGGGTTTTGGCGCGTCCCGTGAGCTTCGCGTCTCGATTTCTTCGCATCTGCACAACATTCTTCGTCGCCAGGCTCAGCATCATCATCATCCTCGAAGTGCTTCGCGTCGATTCGCTTTGCGCTGCGCCGCATCGATTTCGACCCCTGCAAGCGATTGTTTCGCATGTACAGGTCCAATTTCTTCGTTCGTTTTCGGTGTCGTTGCTACCGAAGGACTTAGGACGTGGTTGTATCTGTTTCTGTTTATTTTACAGATATAAGCCATGCATCAGATTTGTATTGATTGTGGTTTTAATTGGATTTATGAGAAGAGTGTGAAGGTTTAGTTTTTATTTATTTATTTATTTTCTTATGTTCAATTGTATGTTTAACAGCAAATTTTATGGAATACAAATATGGTATTTTGGATCTAACAATTATGACAATTTTTTATATCTTAACAATTTTAACTCAGTTTTTTTTAAAATATTTTATAATTTCAAATATTGTAACAATCATGAAATTCTTTAAATAATAAATAAAAATTTATTGTGGTAATTTTTTACATGACTTCTAATCAAGTGAGTTTTTTCAATTTCAACCAATTTTAAGCTCCTTATTTCTGTATAGATGTGTGAAGACTTCTTAATTATTTGTGATGCAATAATATTTTTAATAGAATTTGATTTTGTATATTATAAAAAGCTAGGGTTAATCTATAGCTTTCTTTAGAGTTGATATATATATATATATATATATATATATATATATACAAACATATATGTGTGTGTCTTATTGTTTTATCAATAAACATTATTTGAACATGTATATTTATATTTATATACGTATTTGTTTCTAAGATACCATGATAATGCTATTATGCTAAAATGATGTGTGACAAAGAAATAATAGGAAATGAAATACATTTTTAGTGAATTCCATCTCAATAATTCTATATATATATATATATATATATAATTACAAGCATGCCCTTCTAATTCAGGACATTGTTCTATTTGTCCTACATTGAATAATATAGAATGCAAAACTTCCACTAATAAAAAGGCATGTATGACTTTAGTAGATATCATTGCTAAGTCAAAATAGAGAAAAGTAAAGTTTATTTTCTCTTCTAGTGAAGCAAATGGCCTTGTTTGGTGTTCAACATCTGCTCCAATGAGAAATTTATTAAATTGCATTTCAAACCTACCATCTCAAAGCTCCTGTCTCAATATAGGACACAATTTTTTTATTATTTCATGAAAAGTGTCCTACATTAAGAAAATTGTCCTACATTAGAAGAGCTTGGTTTTAAGTAAAAAGCTTTTTTTTGCAATAAGAAAAAATTGATTAAAACTAATTTAATTAAATTCTTTATGGATGATATTAAAACATAAAAAACTTATATTATAAACTGAAATTAGTTAAAATTTAATATATATAAAATTTTGATGATTTTTTGGAGATATACCTTTTCCAATATTGAATTCTCTTTTTCCTTCATCTAAATTTTTAACCTTTAAGACTGTTCTAAAAAAAATTAATTGTGCCAATAATTCTCTCATATTTTTGAAATAATAAGTTAGCAGGTAGAAAAAGTGCATTAAAGGATCCACACATACATAACTGCCTTGTCTCTACTTTATCTTATTTTATTTTTCTATGACAATGATTAAACAATTGTCCAAGTATGTACCAAACTGATCTCATTTTAGATTGCTTCACCTTTACCTACCATCCAATAAAGTAAATCAAAACCTTTTTGATTCCATTTGTTTCAGGATTTAAAACTGATTCTGATCTAAAGACTTGATTGCATATTGAGCTGATTAAAAGCTCCAGAAATGGAATAAAGGGGCCCACACCCTTAACCCTCACAACTGATCGACAATTTAACCCAAATATTTTTTTGATCATCCTTGCTCAATTTCCATGGACCAATGAAGAGAGTAGTGGGGAGGAACTACAAAGAAAAAGGGTCGCTACTTTAAAAAAATTGCAAAAACGAGGAGGCATCATAGAAATAGCTCCTTGAGCATGGTTAAATTCAGAAGAACTTTGGATATATCTGTAAGCGACTGACAAAAGGGTTGCAATGCAAATGGGTCCTCGAACTTTAGAAACAAACCCGAGATACACGATCATTACACTCATATGCAAAGGTGATTGTATGTGCGACTAGCAGAATCTAAGATACAATCAAGTCCTAAGACTTCAGCTTTTTTAAGTTACGTAGTTGAAAGCCGACAAGGCTATGATAGTGTCAAGTTCAGAGGGTAATGCTATGGTACATCGATCTCTCAATTAGAGGAAAACAATAATATTCACGTGACACTGTTGACACAAAAGTAGAACGCACACACAAAACCAGACCTGTAGCTTTACAAGTCAAGCCACCGTGATGAGCACTTCAAAAATGCCAAAAGCCACGCAATTCAAATCCTCGCTTGCTAGTGAGGTGCTTGGCTATAGCCTGGAAAATCAATTAATCACCATTGCTTCTTGCCTTTCTTCTTCTTCCCTCGGGTTTTGGTGGCTGATCCTGGCTTAGCAGGGGAGCCCCTCTCAGAGAATGGACTACCGTCAGGAAATGGAACGCCACCGTTCATGTCAGTAAAATTGCTTGAGTTATTTTTTACCCAATCGAAAAATTCTTGTTCTGTCATATTACTATGAAAGCCGGGAAAGGGAAATCCGTCAGCACCAGTGGGTGTATCCCTTGCAGACCTAGGTTTAGTTGTCGGGCTCTTTCCAATTCCCGATGTATTCACATGAAACGAGGGCTTGTGGGTGTTGGGTTGGCATTTGAGTCCCTGCAAAATCCAGTTCGAAGCGTTGTTAGCATTTGATGAAGTACTAGTATAATACCCGTGTGAGAATATGCCCACAATCTAACAGAAATTGATGTAGAAAAATCACATACCTGGCAACGGACCCACTCCGTCACTTCGTACACCATCCCATCAGCACAAGCGTAAGCATGCGGAATATCATCCTACAGGTAATCCCAAAATTTCCAGGAATTTAGCAACTCGAATCGGTACATGTAAGGATTTAGGACCAAACAACAATGTAGCTGGAAAAATTAGAGTATGTACCTTTTGAAAGATTCCGAAGAAGAAAGCTTGGACAGTCTGTTCAACCCAACCATCACCATCCTTGGCCGGGTGATGATCCTGGCACTCCTGCATCAATGTTGGCCACTTCAATATGAGTTACACAACGCAGTGAACACCCATTTCATTTCCAGCTTTAAGAGAAGCTCCACCAGTTTTCACTCCCTCTGAAAGCAGGTAGTTGAAACGATAGGATAAATAACAAAGAGGACAGCGCTAAGAGCACGATCGACTTCACCTGGCACCATCTTGCCCGAAGCTTAGTCTTGTTGGTCGAGATCCATGCATGATTATTCCCACATTTTCGACACGAAATCCTTCGTGAATTTGCTGGCAAGTCCTCCCCATCATCTTCTGAATGCTTACATCCACAATCCGGGGCACCATTTCTTCCATTCTGCACAATGGGACAGTATGCGAACCATGTTGACAAATGTAATCAACGTTCAGTCTGATATGTAGAACTTGAATATTCTCAACTACTACAGCTACATCAGAGGGAAATGGTCCAAAACTAAAGGCGAACCAGAATCTGGTAAAGATAGGTCGAGGACAGGAAAGTGAAGGTATTTTTAAGCAGTTATTCACAGTAGTGGTTCCAGAATTTCGAGGAATTACTGATCAACAGGAAATAGAAATGCCATCACAATCTGCAGGGAACAAGAAAGACAGAAGGGTACCGCGTGCACATGATGTCTGCGAATAGTCATAAGAATTTCTTCTCGACGTAATTCTTCATCATAAGTTTTCTTTTTCATCGCATCCAACAGAACCTGATGATCATGAACAAATCCTTCACATTACAAGTTGCGGTGCAACTCTAAATGAAACTACTAATTTTTATATCCAGTACATAGAACAACTCAACTCATGTTCACATGAATGAGTAAAATTTAAATTAGGACTAAGCGATCAGCTAGATGCCATCACCAGATCCTCACAACTGAAATGAACAGTACCTCATAAGCATTCTGCAAGCGCTTGAAGGCTTCTTCAGCTTGGTCATTCCCTCCATTTTTGTCAGGATGCACTATAATTGCCTGCAAGTTTTTAAGAAACCAGTGAGTTGTAAGAACAAGCTTATAAACAGCAATACGAGATTATTGATACATTCGCCAGACAACCGTACTTCCTAACCTACAGGACTACATCCTCAGGAAAGATTTCTGTGACTACAGTAAGACTAATGAAATTTCGATGACAGCAGCATTTGCACTTGATGCTGCAGTGCCCAACTGTGCACTGTAGTGCTTATTTAGTATGAGTAGAAATGATGATACTTGAGATAATTTTCCATGACCTTTTGCTTCCTAAAGCAATACACCATCAAATGCTTATTTCACAATAAGCTTTCAACAATTTCAAAAACAATTGAATGGTGAGTTGGGAGGAGTAAGGTCTGAACCTTTTTCCTATATTCTCTTTTAAGACTTGATGCATCAAATGCCTCATAGCGGGCAAACCCGAGGATAGCATAGTGATCATTACAACTCAGCACACGTGCTACTTCCTCCTCAGCCGACAATGGGTCACCTTCGTTTGCTCCGCTAGTAGAAGCACCAGTACTCGAGCGAGTACTGTCTGCATTACCCTGATACGTGTCTGAGTGAGGCCCACCATAATCAGAAGACCTTCCATTGAATGACTTCTGCTGAGAGAATGGTGTATGCTCTGCCTTGGTTTGAGAAAATTTCTCGTCCTTGTCGACAGGGCTGAGAAAGTAAACTGCAAGGTCGGAAGAAATAAAGGATAGGGCAATACATATTAACAGCCAAAACCAGCCCCCAGAACTTATTATAGAATAAACAGCATAAATTACGGTGACGGAAACTGCAAGCCGACCCTGATTTGCTGCAAACAGGGCACCTGAAAACAGACGCACACGTTGGATCATGCTTAGAAGTGAAAATACGAGACCAAATCTTAGGATTGAGAACTCAGGAAAATTTAACAAACGGAAATGTTGGTAGGAACTTCACATGTAGAGAAAAAAGGGTAATAGCACAACCAGAGACGCTGACAATCTTAAAGTTGTCTGTTCTAGACTTCAAAAATGATTTTCAAATGTGTTCAGTTCAAAGTGCTTACGCACATAAATCTCTCTCTCTCTCTCTCTCTCTCTCTCTCTCTCTCTCTCTCTCTCTCTCTCTCTCGCCCGCGCGAGGAACGAAGATAATGCAAGTAGATCTCAAAAATCGTTTAAACTACTTCCATAGAAATAAAGCAAATAAAAATATTATCCACATTCGTTCATGAAATGTAACACGAGATAAATGAACAGATTATTACCTCCAGTAATGATTATAGCCCCTGTCAACCAGAAACTACCGTAGAGCCACAGTACTAATGCGCCGAATATAGCCAACATGGCGATTGCCGGAGTGTACCCCACAAGAAACACAGTTCCCGCTGCCAGTACCTGCAATACTGGCCCTCTCTCCCATCAATACTTCGCACCATAACACTAGGTACGGATGTAACTGAAGGGATCTTCTTAAACCCTCATAGTGAGACGTTTGTTTTAATAGCTTTCACCTACAAGTCTGTATGATAAATTACGAAATAATTGTGAAAGATGCCCTTCCTTCGGATCTAAGTGAGTCCATCTTTCCAGTAGTACCCTTCGATCGATGACCACGTCAGTGCATAACACACTTAAGTCACGCGAAAATTTAAGCAACTTTATATACTCATCTACCATGAAGAGAGTCCTTTGGCTCAATCTGAGATTCCATCTACTCAAAAGCGATATACACAGGCCCCTGAACTGCGAGCGGCTGTCATCTTCATCGTGACATCATGGAAACTTAAACTGGCCTAAAATGGATATTTAATTCAATTCACACATACATTCTGTGAGCTCTGAAACACGATGAGTAACAGGAACTTCGTTGAAAAGAACGAAATGAAAAGTGACAAAGCTCAGGGAAAATGAATTAGACAACCAGGAATGTGTTACCAGAGCGATGACCAAATTGAATAGCCCCGCAAGTCGAATAAAACTGATGACAGTACACCAGAGCAGAAGAAAATGCGCAGCTGATCCCAACCGAAATAGTGAAGCAAAACCTCGAATCGCAGCCTCCAAACCCAGGAGACTGAGCATGAGCATCACCCTCGTGATCAGAATCAACCATGCCCGTGCCAACGGCCAATGTTGCTTCACCTTTGACTCCACTCTTGCACGTAATTGCAACAAGTAGTCTCTGACTGCCACCCTTCTGGGCTCCTGCTTCTCAACCCATTGTTTTACCCATGCAACCCATGCAGCACAATTGGCAGCCAAATTGGCGACCATATCACTGCTCGGTCTGTCCCTTCTCAAACTGTCCCCTCGATGAGGTTCTTCCTTCCCTTGACCAGGTTCTTGCAAAATCTCCTCCCTTTCTCCTCCACCCCTGGCTCTCCCGGGTTGGCTTCTGGTTCGACGCATGCTCGGCAAACCCGCAGCCCCGATAGTTGGTGAGCTTTTATTTGCACCATCACCACCCTTGCTTCGATTTGTCTTTGTCTTACTACTTCTTCCCCCGGCGCCCTTGCCTCCACGCCCTACGCTGTCAGAACCTTTCCCCTTGTTTCCCCCTATTCTCAACTCTTCCGCAAGATTTGCCTGCTCCTTCCTCCCCTCAATCTTCTCAGCCCGTGGAGAGGACACACTATCCTGACTTTTCAACTCTTCCTTCCAATCAGTCTGAGGTGATGACACAGAACCCTCTCTTTTCAATTCCTCTGTCCTTTCCTCATTGTTGAAAGCCCTAGAAACAAAGTCTGCGTTCATCTCCTTCAATTCCTCCTGCATCGTGTATTCCGACGTGAGCTGTTCAGCTACGCATACCTTCTCCCCCGAATCTTCCATTGGTCTCATTGTATCCTTTTGATTCTCATTCACCCCGGGATTCTCACCAGCATTGGCACCACCAGGCGCCGGCTCCGCCTCCCCATCCTGCTGCCGCTCAGGCACCATGTCCCCACACACCCCTCACAGGAAACAAATTAGGGTTCACGAAACACAAGCTCCAGTAAACACGATTCCATTCCTCGCGCCCTTCACAAACCCTGCTCCCCGGTAAATTGCCTTGTCGTTCCCCAATCGCCGCAACCACCAAACACTGCCTACGCCTCAAAATTTTCACCGCCCATGCCAAACCCTATTCTCCGCCAAAGCACACCTCCAAACCTCTTCCTGCATTCTCACAGCATCATCGACAAAATCACCACAGCCATCTGCCACCGCCACCGCCACCGCTCTCCCATCTTCCCACCCTCATTCCCATCTCCATCCACACGAACCCCAAACACTAATTACATTTCAGTCACCATGGCCATCACCAAACCACCACATTACCACACCCAAAATCAATACCCTTCAGCGCTTCAATCCCTCAAACTCAACAAACCCCACAACCCCATTTCCTTCTCGTCACTTCTTCCTCATCTCCACGACCCCGACCAAGCACACACCAATACAGGGCTCAATGCAACTCGGCTCAAAAACATTCAAAACCTCGCCACAGCAGCGACACAACCCACAATCGCGGCAGAGATACAACAACAGCGAGAAGAATCAATAACGAAAGGGCTCAAATTTGCAATTCTACGCGCTTTGGATGTGTGCTAAAGTGATGGAATCCATGGCCAGGTGATCGATCAGTGCCCCCTGGTGATTGTAACCAAGCTCTGGCCGCAACCGTAGCCTCTACACTACGCTACATACACTCTCTTGTTCTGTTCTGAGGGCAATATGTTGTTATTGCTTAGCTTGGCTCCGCTTTGCCTTGCTTTGCCTTGCCTTACATCACATTACATTTTGCATTGAAATGGAGAGCCTGTTGTGTTGGGGCTCACGCGATGCATGTTGCGGCCCGTCGCATGAATTCAACGTTTGTGGGTTGGTACGGGGGAGGGAACGATGGAGGAAGGTCCTCTTCTTCTTCTACCATGGCCACTGTTTGGCTAAAGCATTCCACCAGTGGCCTAATTTTTACGAAGGGGAGTTGTTGTAGGTCATTTGGGCATTGTTTTGACTATATCTTGTGAATATATTGTGTTGTATTTTGTTTGTGATTTTATACCAGATTTGGTGTAAAGTATTGGGTTTTTGGAAGAATTTTGTGTGGTTAGAATAAATCGTGAGTTTGTTATGTTTGTCTTTTTGTAATGTAAGTTGATACAACTATTAAACTTTAGTGGTAATTGTTGTGTATTAGTGATGTTTCATGTATGACATGTAGAGATTGTTAATATCCAACAAACTGTTGAAATATAGAAAGCATACTCCACACAAGTAAGTTAGGACTAGCAAGGTTGCACTTTAACAAATAGAGTGTGGTATGAAATAATTCTTTCCATGCCAACCCTTTCCCTATATACTAGTACCAAGGTACCAAGTGCTACAACCCATATGGGATATCTCCTAGGACCAGCCCTCCCCTTGTACTCTAATGCACTATAGACCAGCACCTAACCTTATGGGATATCCCTAACAACACTTGTACTCTATTGACCATTAGCAATTACTTAAAGAGTTCTTTCCTTCAACACTCCCACTTTGCTATTGGTCAATTACCTATCAATCCTAATGCCTTACTCAACTTGTTGTGTCTTTCTCTAACTCAGGCTTTTGTCAACAAATCAGCCAACATGTCTTTGGTTTCACAATACATCATATCAATAACCCCCATTTCTATCTTCTCTCTTATGAAATGATGCTGAATATCAATGTGCTTGGTTCTTGCATGATGCTTTGGATTCTTTGCAAAAGTAAGACATCCTTGATTGTCACACCTCAATGGAGTGGCCTCCAATTGCACAAGTCCAATATCTTCCAATAACAACATCAACCAAATTGCCTCCATTGCTCCATGACTTGCTGCCATATACTCTGCCTCCATTGTGGATCTTGCAATGGTTGGTTGTCTCTTGCAATTCCAAGATATGGCTCCCACTCCAACAAAGAATACATAGCCCGTTGTTGACCTTCTATCGTTTGCATTTCCAGCCCAATCCGCATCACAATATCCATGTAATGCAATATTATCTCCTCCAAGACATAGTTTGAGGTTCAAAGAGCCTTTCAAGTACCTCATGATTCTCTTGATGGTTGCCCAATGCATAGGACCTGGTTTTGCCATGTGTTGGCTTACAACACTTACCGCAAATGCAAGATCCATCCTTGTGCCTACCATTGCATACATGAGTGAGTCTACTGCTGCCTTGTATGGTATGCCTTGCATTTGATGCTCAACTTCAGCATACTCCTCATCTGTGAGCTTCATCAACTTCAAGTTGGCCTCCAAAGGAGTTCCAATGGGCTTGCAATCTCCCATATTGAATCGTTTCAATACTTCTTCAATGTACTTGCTTTGGCTCAATGTGATGGTCTTTGATTCTCTACTTCTTGTGAATTCCACACCCAAACAATAATGGAGCTCTCCCAAAACACTCATCTCAAACTCTCCCTCCAATTTCTTCTTCAACCAATCCAATCTTACCATAGTGTTGCTTAAGATGATTAAATCATCTACATAGAGGATCACAACCAGCAAGAAGTCCTTGGCTTGCAATACATACAAAGAATGGTCAGCTTCACTCCTTACAAAACCTTCGTTCACAAAGAATGAGTCAATGCATTGGTACCATGCTCTTGGTGATTGCTTGAGTCCATACAATGACTTCCTCAACTTGCAAACAAGGTGGTGTTTGTCTTGTTCAATAAATCCTTGAGGTTGCTCCATGTAGATGTCTTCTTCCAATTCTCCATTCAAGAATGCTGTCTTGATGTCCATTTGATGCATCTCAAGGTCCATTGATGCTCCAATTGCTACTATGGTTCTAATGGTGGTGAACTTGGCCACGAGTGCAAATGTCTCATTAAAATCCACTCCAGCAACTTGTGAATAGCCTTTGGCAACCAATCTTGCCTTGTACCTCACAACATTGCCCATAGCATCTCTCTTGGTTCTAAACACCCACTTACATCCAATTGCTGATCGATTTGGTGGAAGTGGAGTCAACTCCCATGTTTCATTGTCCATAAGAGATTTGTATTCTTCTTGCATGGCAATCTCCTACTTCATTGCATCACCACACCTCATTACATCACACAAAGTCAATGGATCATCAAGAAGAGCAACATTGGCATGGTCTTCACTTACTTGTGAAAAGATGTGGTTCTTCCACCATTCACCTTGTGGTCTTCTCTCACGTGTTGGATATCTTCTTTCATGCAAGGAGGATGAGCCTTCATGCACCTCTTGTTGCCTTGTATGGCTCATGGAGTTCTTTGTCTTACTCATTGGTTGATATTCTTCATCTTCATTCTCTTCATTGTTCTTGTTGTATCTTGCTGGAATTGAAGTCTTCATAGTATTGGGCTCTTCTATCATGGCATCTTCCTCTCCTTCTTCACTTTGAGAATTCTCTTCTTCATCTTCTTGTTTGTTTGCTGGAATTGAAGATGTGTCCACAAACACACCACTACTCCCACTTAGACACATCTCCCACTTTTCACTACCACTTTTATGCTCCAAGAACTCTACATCACGACTTTTGATGATCTTTTTGGTATCTAAACACATAAGCCTATATGCCTTGGTGCCTTCACAATAACCAAGGAATACACATCTTGTACCCTTTGCATCAAGTTTGCCTCTCATACTATCTGGAACCTTGACATATGCAATGCACCCAAAAATCCTCATGTGGGATATGCAAGGTTTGTTACCAGTCCAAGCTTCTTGGGGAGTCATTCCTTCAAGTGCACTTGTGGGACACCTATTTCTTGTATACATGGCATTTACTACAGCTTTCGCCCAATACTCATACCCAAGTTTTTGAGCATGAATCATACTCCTTACCATCTCTACAATGGTGCGATTTGCTCTTTCAGCAACTCCATTTTGTTGTGGAGTGTAGGGAGTGGAGGTTTGTCTTGCAATGCCTTCATGCTTCAGTAACTCATCAAAGTATTTGGACAAATACTCACCTCTATTGTCCGATCGCAGCACCTTAATATTGTGCTCACATTGCTTCTCCACAAGTGCTTTCCACTCCTTAAACTTGGCAAAACACTCACTCTTGGCCTTGATGATGTAAATCCATACCTTCCTTGAGAAGTCATCAATAAATGTGACAAAGTACCTTGCTCCACTCATAGATGGTGTCCTCATGGGTCCACAAACATCCGAATGCACAAGCTCCAGCAATTGGTTTGCTCTTGTTGCAACGCCACTATGAAATGGTGTCCTATGTTGTTTGCCTTGAATGCATCCCTCACAAGCAAGATTCATGGTAGAATGGCCAAGGTCTAAGCCACTTACCATGGATTGAAGCTCCTTCATGCTTTTGGCATTCAAATGCCCAAGTCTTTGATGCCAAATGCTCACCTTGTCTTCATTTGATGGAAATTCAGCAAAGGCAGCAACCTCCACTCCATTGATCCTCTTGCAATTGATAATATAGAGATTGCCATCCCTAGTCCCTTTTGCTACTTCTTTGCCTTCCATGGTTCTCACAAAACATCCATTCATGTTAAATTGCACTTTACACCCATGAGTTACAAGTTTACTCACCGAAAGGAGGTTCTTCTTCATCTTTGGCACATGCAACACATCTTTGAGAGTGATTCTCTTGCTTATGCCCTTCACCACCACCTCTACTACAATGGTGCCCATTCCAATGGCTTGTACCATACCATTATCACCTAACCAAACCTTGGTTGCTGGAATTGGTTCATAAGTGTTAAATGAACACTTGTATGGAGTCATGTGTTTGGTGCATCCGGAATCCACAATCCATTTGCTCATATCAAGTATGGAAGGAGTTTGTTTTGCCATGAATGCAAAGTCTTCACCTCCATGGTCATGAAAAGCATTGTTGACATTCTCTCTTTCTCCTTTCTTTGCCTTGAAACAATTTCTAGCAAAATGGCCTGGTTTTCCACAAATGTAACAAGTTTTAGGAGGATAACGTTGAAAAGGGGTACTTGCCTTACTTCGTCTTGTAAATAGTGCTGATTGCTCCCCAATAGACTCCTTTTGCTTTCTTTTGGTCACTTCATGGGCTAGTCTTGCCGTGACATAGTCCAAAGTGAGGTCTTTCCTTGAAATGGACTTCAATGCCACAACGAGGGAGGATTAGGAGTCCGGAAGGCTTGAGAGCAATGTCATCACAACATCTTCTTCAAATAAAGGCTTATCAACAACAGCAAGTTAGTTTGCAAGTGCTTTTATCTTATTTACATGAGCCATGAGATCTTCACCTTCTTCCATCTTCACGGTGAAGAATTTTTTCCTTGACCATAGCACATTGGAGAGATTCCTACTTTCATAGACATTGCAAAGAGTCTTCCATGCATCTGCTGCCCCTTTGCAAGAAATGACATGAGCAAAGTTGCTTTCATCTAAATTGGTGGTAATTATGCCAAAAGCCTTCTTCTCTCGTCTTTTGAAGTCTTTTTGCTCCTTGATGCTTGCCTCTACCCCAGGTGCAAGTTCCTCCTCATCTACTATCTCCCAAAGATCCAATGACGCCAAAAGTAGCTCTATTTTGGCCTTCCAATGGTGAAAGTTGTCACCTCTAAACTTTTCAACAACTCTTAAGCTATCACCCTCAAAAGATGCCATCTCAAGCTACAAGAAGGTCCAAAAAACTCTTGATTTGGAGTTGTAATGCAAAAGATATGACTACTTAAAGATTGATGAACTACAAACCCAAAATTCGCTGTTTTGCAACTTTTTGCATATTTTGAGTCCAAATTACGTCTAAATGGTGGAGAATGGTTTGTAATGTGATTTTATGACTTTCAAACGTCTCTCTAACGTCACTTCACTCAAAAATGACTCACTTTTTCATAAAACTCTCAAATACTAGTGCTCCTTCAACAAAGACACTATCAAGGTCTTGCACTAAGCTCATACACTCACAAATCCAAGAGTAATGACTTCAACAATTCACTAGCAACACTCTACCATAAGATCTCAACCACCAAAAACAAGCAACAAAGAAATAATGCAAGAACAACTTACTTGGTAAGAGAATGTGGGCCCATAACCTATTGAAACATAGAAAGCATACTCCACACAAGTAAGTTAGGACCAGCAAGGTTGCACTTTAACAAATAGAGTGTGGTATGAGATAATTCTTCCCATGCCAACCCTTTCCCTATATACTAGTACCAAGGTACCAAGTGCTACAACCCATATGGGATATCTCCTAGGACCAGCCCTCTCCTTGTACTCTAATGCACTATAGACCAGCACCTAACCTTATGGGATATCCCTAACAACACTTGTACTCTATTGACCATTAGCAACTACTTAAAGAGTTCTTTCCTTCAACACAAACATTTCTACTTTTTTGTTGTTTGTTTTTCTTATTTGTTACAAGATCTTGACTTTTCAATATCATTGTACTACTTATTAAAGGTTGGGTGTGAACTTCTTTTCTTATCCAAAGTCATAAGATGACAAACCTCTATGGTTTGATTGTGCTTTGTTGTGTTACTATCTATAGCAAAAATAATAAAGTTAAAACATTTCTACAATATTTTTTTTATTGTTAAGTTGACTATAAGGCATTTGTAAATAAATACAAATACTGCACCGATTTTAAATTATATGATAATCACTAAAACTTCAATCATAACACTAATAACATTTTATGTTTTTCTTTTTCTTTTCTGATTTTTATATTCTTATGATTTTTATATTTTGAAGTAAAGAGGTAAAAATTAAAAATAGAATCGGAAGTACCTTTTTGAAGTCTTTTCCATACTAAAATAAAAAAAAACATCCTTGCCAAATAATTTAATGATTATGTAACTATTAAGTTTTAAAAAGTTGTAAATCATATTATCTCTTAGGTTATCAATAAATCAAAATTATAGTGTTAATTTCTTTAGAAATCTGATCTAAATGGCATATATAATTAGTTATAATAAAAATCGAGTTAGTAAAATCTTATTAACTTAATATATATTAGTATATATGGAACACTTACATTTACAAGAGATCTTTGATTTTTTTAATTTTATGCAAAAAAATCTTCTATTATTCAAATCAATTGAAAATTAAAAATTTCAAAAACTAAATCTTTTCTTGAACTTGATTCTAAGCTAAGGTCTACTTCAACCTAACAAAAATTGAATCTAACTTAGGCAATGATAAATCTTACCCTTACATTGTAATTTCAATCCTAATCCAAAGCAAATTCAAACCATATCCTTAAAAGACTTCTTCAAGGATAAATCCGATGATTGTACCATGACTGCCTGATTCTCATTTTATCAGAACACAATTCCTGTGCATTGATTCACGACTGATTCGATGACTGAGAAGCTCAGATCTCGTCGAACTACGCATGCAATCCAGTCAATCGATCTCGTGTATCTTATTGAAGTGGGAGTTGCACACGCCGGTGGTCCCTACTCTGCTCGATCGAACGGATCCTGCGGAACCGATCGGTCCTTTTCAGCTGCATTTCAATCGCACCACCAGTTCCTACTCCAAGCTCCGGCGAAGACTGGTATCGATGAGCCTGTTCTGTAAAGTACCCATCCAGTTGGCGTCGATTTCCAGCATTCCTGCATGCGTCGACATGATTGGGGGTGCCGACCACTTGGTTTTGTCTAGGTTCTGTTCCTGAGCCGTAAATCCACGTCGTAGCGTCGTGTCTAGAGATGGTTGCAATGGCGGTAGAGCAGGTCGACTCCATGGACAGTTTGCTGTGCTTCGAATTTCCATGCAATTTTTCATGCATCGGTTTCATGTTGGTTACATCCAAAAATTGAATTTTCATGGAAGCTGTAAACTTGATTCCTAAATTGCAGCATTTGTAAGCCTTGTTCGTGGATGGTTGCTAAAACGGTGAATGGTTTGTGGACCCCTAATCCAAATCTGACACTCCAGTGTTTCATAAGGATACTTCCAATTTGAGGAACTTTCCAATGAAAGTGAAAGTTACCATTCAAGCATTCATCATACTGGAGCTAGTAGAGCTCACTGTGTTGGGAGTGTTATCCCCTTGACTTCCTCTTCGCTGAAAATCTGGTCTTTCCCTTACAATGAAACATTATCTTACAGATGTGGAAGCAATCCTGCGTTGCTTCAAAACTTGAAAAGCTTTGAATGTCGGAGTTGAGTCATTGTCACATAGAAACCTCGATGTTTGTAGATAATTTTCTTATTTTGCGTGAATTGGCAGCAGCTGCAATTCTGTTCAACCTTGATGCCAGGATAGAGGCGACCCACACTCGAGCTCTAGCACCAAAATGCCACACATATGATTTGTGCCATTTATGGCTACTGCATCAGATTAGGCTTTGAATCCAAAGTTTCGTCCTCGGCAATGCATGATGGAATTAGTAAAACTGCCCAAGCTGAAGTCGAAGATTTAGGGTTTTAAAAACCACTCACGAGGAAGAAGTTTTGTCTATCCAGATTCTGAATTTTTATCACCATGATAATTACAATAGACAAGATTAGTTTTTAAATTATTTTTAAGCCGGATGTTGAATTGATAATAATCTTAATATATTATGGACTTAAATTTGTAGAAATATATATTAGAGAAAAAAATCCAACTTCTTATATGTTTATTAGAATATCCTTTGGTGTCAGTCTGTAAAAGAATAGCTCATTGCCAAAAAAAGCACTACAAGCAATACATAGAGTTTGTCGTCTTTTCATGTTCCTTATGCTAGAAGTTGTAAATATATTGACTAAAAAAAATAAATTTGTAACTCTCTGTTTACAATACCAAACACAAAAAACTAGGTAATTTTTTTTATATTTATAACAAAACCAAAAAAAACCCATGCTTAGAAATGAACTTGATTTATTGCTACATCTTTGACTGTAAATGATTTAATAAACGTAACCATTTTTTACAAATTTTAATTACAATATACGCCAATACTGCACACGTGGATATTATATTATTTAGATTATTTGATATTTGTCAAGTAATAAATTAACAACTTCCTTTTAATATATATATATATATATATATATTTATAAATACATATATAAATATTAATAGTTATTAACCATATGAATCCTAAACTCTCTAATCAACGATCATTTTTTTATTTATTTTTTATTTTGTTTCAATTGCATTAAATGAAAATATCCTTAAAAATATGTTGTGATGTGTATCACTTCAAAAATAGAAAACAAATTTGCATTTTGTTATTCATTGTACTTTTATTCAAAACTTAAGTTTTAAAAACTGCTGTAAATCTTTGTGTTTTAATGAAAATTTTAAATCACAAATTGTGTAGTAAATATATCGTGTAATAAATATAACATAAAAGGATCTTACAATATAAATATATATATATATATATATATATAAAATCCTTGCTTATCTGATTGCAATAGTTACATATTATTTAAAATTGTAAACACTTTTTTGCATTAAAATCATCATTAATTATACATTGATGAGTGTAAAACAGTCCCTGTATATCCCATTTAATATTCCATTTTTTATTCTCTTTTCTCTTAAAAATCAAGAGATGATATGAGCAATAACAGGAGTATAATTTTGGCTGATGAAAGAAAAAGTTCTTGTCCTTGTTTACATCCAAACTGATTTTTTATTAGTACAAAAATAGTTCTTATAAACAAGTCTCCTACATTGAAATAATCATAAGAAATCTTATAATCAATACACATGCTGTATACTTGAAATAATAATTTAATTAATAAAATAAGAATAAAATATATTTGATAAACAGCTACAAATTAATTGTGTAAAATATAATTAATTTGCATTCCAGATTTTCGTTCAAGGTTTGTTTTCCATGTCTAACCCATCCTACCCTTATATAGACTAATGAAAGTTATACTATGCATGAAATTAGTTCATGTGAACATCTTCAATTTTTGAATTTTGAAGAGATTTCTTGTGAATTCCGTTTGAAAATTGGTTTTTACTCTTGCTTTTAACGACACTCTATATCCAATTTATTAAAAAAGCATTCATTAATGGATTTTCTCAAAAATATTGCCAAGACTAGTGAACTTAATCCGATGAGTATAGTTTATGCCTTTTGGAGGTAAACGGCTTCCATGTTTGTTTTCCAATCCTCACTTTCATGAGCTAAAGAAGCAAGCATCGTTTGCCTTAAGAATTTCAAGCTTTCCAGAACCCTAACTTTGCATTGCTGTCTGTTTCTGGACATCTATCTTGCCACAAGACTTTCACGCTCATCATGGATCTCACAGATCTGCGGAGCTCGTCTGCTCTGATCTGAGAAGTATCTTCAAGTGGGAACAGATTGTTTCATGCAGAGCGTTTTAAGAATACAACGTATAATGAATTAAAACAAGTTTAAATCCAGAAGGATTACTACAAAAAGGATTGAAGTCCCCAACAGGTGCTTCCATACCATGCCCACATCCATATTCTCACAATACACATCTCAGCAGGAGACAAATATGATATCATTTTAATTAGAAGGTTACCTTTGGTCCTCATCTTACCGCTACCTACAAGTTGGGTAGACACAGTAATTATCTGGTGAGTTGCTTCACGTACGCACTCCAATCCAAACCAGACCTGGTGATTTTTTTTCTATTGAAGTGCTCTCTTTATATACCTGTCAAGTCACACTGCAATTAAATGCAGTTATGTTAGTGTGACTGGAAGGTTTGTACTGCCAACGTGAATTGACATTCAACATCCAATGCAAACTCTGAGCGTTGAATTTACAAAGAGATGTTCCTACCTCAATGGTGCGCTCTTTAACAAATGTCTCCACTGAAGTGAAAAACAAGAGGTTACATGTGCAATAGTAGATTGGAGTTCATCATGCTATTCTTCCATGGATTGTCAGCTCTTATAATTCTCCATGTCCCTCTCTCCAATTCTCCTGCAAGCATGTGGCACAATTATGATCGCACAGAAAGGATTAGACGAATATTCTTTCCCACGTCTCAGACCTCTCCCCACAGGCAAGCTTGAACCAGGCATGTGAAATTGCGTGCAAATACTTAAGTCATTAAAGGATAACACACTTACAACAGTCAAGACGTGCTGGACCATCCCGACCATGAGAGTATGCTCCCCTAGTTCGACTGTACGAATTCCATCATCTCCGACTGTCCCCAAATCTTCGCATGGGTTCACTTTGAAGAGTATTTCTTGTCCTGCTCCAGCTTCCAAGTGCACACGCTCAAAGCTAACGAGCTGCTTCAGTGGAATCCCATCAATGCCTCTTGAAGGAGGCTTTGAGAACAGGAGCACTGAATGGTCACCACTAAGTGGACCGTGGTTTATCACCCATACTCGCACGTGGAAACTTGATTCCTTACACGCCTCTGTAAAAAAAATACTAAATTACTTCAAGATACATAATAATAATAATAATAATAATAATAATAATTTGCGACGTAAATGCACAGACCACATGATTGGCAAGTACTCAATGACATCTCACCTTTCTCATAGTGAAGACAGTTAAGATCAGACGTCATAACTGCCCTATCTGAGCTACAAAGTTGGTAACGTAAGTGAGGAGCCATAATGGATTGAGGCGCCGAAACCATGGTGTACTTGAAATCGGAGTAGCTCAAACCGTGACCGAATTCCCAGAGTGGTGTATCAGTAAAGAAACGATATGTTCGCCCTGGGTAGCCTGTGGACGCGTTAGGCCGCATGTTCATGTTGGACATGTCAATGTTGGTGTAATTTTCGTAGTACCATGATTGTGCTAGACGACCACCTGGTGCAACGTACATGAACAATTTGAGTACCGAGCAAATTCAACCTTAGGAACAGAAGGGATGTATTTCTGTTCTGTGGTTCTTCTGAAAAATGGCAGTAGTTTCAGAGGGATCAAGACAAGAAAATTTGAAATGATAAATGGACCAAATCATCGACCACCCACTTAATAATATTCAGACCGAGCGGGTACATCATGTTTTTAGTTTTATTTTTATCTTGGTTCTGTTAGAGACGTTACTTTAGCCACAAACCATCGTTGATAGAGATTGTCCACTACAGTATATGGTTGGAAATGGGAATTCACACAAACCTGGATTTACAAGGCCAAATATCGCTTCAGCAATAGCTTCACCACCAGATTGACCTGGATAACCAGCCCAAATAATGCTTTGAATGCGAGGGTCATCGTTAGCAAAAGAGACGTCTAATGGCGATCCTGAGAGAAGTACTAGAACAACTGGGCGGCCAGCAGAGGCCTCAACCACAGATGAAACCAACTCCATTTGACGTCCCGGCAAGAGTAAACTGTCTCGATCGCGTCCCTCCTTTTCTTGCGCTTGACTTATCCCAAGAACTAAAACAACTGCATCTGCTTGTGCAGCAGCCTCTTTGGCAGCATAAATGTAGAATTGATCCTCACAAGCTGCATCACTACACCCTCGTTCGTGGGAAATTCTTGGTGAGTGATCTGAAAGCACTTTTGCGAACCCTTGTAGAGGTGAAACAAATTTACAAGGGTAGCCTGCAAATAGATCTTGTCAATATTTGCTAGAGTGACAATATGTAGCAAGGTATTCTAGCTCGTAAACTCAAATTAATACACCCAAAAGCTTTTCTTTGCACATGAAAGCCCCAGTGTAATTGCAAAGACACGATAGACCAATGCACCATCCAACTATCTATTCAGCTTTCATCGTAGTTACCTTCATAATTCCCAAGCATTTCACGTGTAGCATCGGCATGATGACCAATAACAGCAAGTTTCAGCCCATGCGTCTTTTTCCAAGGGAGCGCATTCTTCTCATTCTTAAGCAGAACCAAGCTTTGTCTAGCAGCTTCCAGTGCGAGGTGCTGGTTATCCTCTGTGCACATATCTTCCGGTCCAAGTGACCCATACGGTAAGGTAGATGGATTCCCATCGAACATGCCAAGCCGCATACGGACTCTGAAGAGATTGCGGAGATGCATGTCTATGAGCCCCTCCCAAATCAATTTCTTATCCAGAGCGGCCAGGCCGTGCACAAGAGTTGTGCTTCCACAATTCAGATCCATACCTGAATAGAGTAAAAAGATAATCTTTAAACTTTTCTTCTGCAAAGTTGTAACTTATCTCAGTGAACGCAATTGTAACAACTTCTCTTTGCATCGATGGGCTCAGCATTTTCTAAGTCTCTAAGAGAAAACAATGGTCAACTAGTCAAGTGTAAATTGGTTCTGTAAAGGATAGAAGAACGGATAAGAGTAGTACCAGCTAACATCACGTAGGAAACTGCATCTTCAGAAGTAGGCGCATAATTTATATAGTCATGAATAAGAGCAACGGCATCACAATCGGACACAATGTACCTGCAAGAAGGACCATTAAGGTTAACAATCCACGCTTAATTTCTGAAGTAAGAATAATAAACAACGACATGAGAGATTCCTGTTGGTTTCAAAAGTCGGTTTTTCAAGTGAACACGGCGTCCTTTGATTCCACATACCCATCAAAACCCCATTGGTTGCGAACTGTCAATGTGAGGAGTTCATAATGGGTACACATAGGTATTCCGTTCAAACGGTTGTAAGAGCACATGACACTGCTTGATTGCCCCTCTTTGACACAGCTCTTAAATGATGGATTGTATGTGTCCTCCAAATCTTGCTGCGTTACCTGCAAGGACACATGGATTATATGATGACCACAGTTACTTGAGAAGTAGTGGATACTATTTAAAGAAACACAATCAGTAGCTCCCTCGTCATGCATCTCGTGCACTGACTGAGGAAGAAAGAGCAGTTTGCACAAAACATGAGCTAACGTGTGATGACAAACTTGGTAAAAACCCCCATTTCTGAGAAAGAAACGCAAAGATCTAACCTTGGAGTCAAAATGGTCACGATCGTAATCTTTCCATCGGTCAAGGTCATGGGCAGTGAAGTGCTTGCAACAAGCAGAGATTTTGAGTCTTCGAGGACCTCGAGAGACAGCCTGGGGTTGGTTTTGGTCATAATCTCCTTCTTGCAGTCCTTTCACAAAGTGAACGGCATACCCACTGCTTAGCTTAGGATCTTCGCCAGGTGTTTCTTGAGTCCTTCCCCATCGTGGATCACGAGCAATATTGATGTTGGGAGACCAGTATGTTAATCCGGACCTGCCCTGGTTGTACATTGCGCGTCCCTCTGTAGAGACTACCTGGAATAGAAGCAATCATGTCAAATTTATCATGGGATCCCCAGTGTTCAAACCTCAACTTCTTTCACAGAAATAGCCGCTCGAGCGAAATGCAGGACAGCAACAACACACAATCAACCATAGCAAGACCTGTACGGCTCTTTCTATCGGCTCGAATAGACAGCAAGTGGGTAACATTCATGTAACCACATTGACAATCGAAAGGACGCGTGAAAGGCATAAGCAACAAACATTTGACCTCAGAACACTCCACATTGAAAACTCAGTATATTGGACATAGAAGTTCCAATATCTCTAAAGAGAGAGCCTCTTGAAGGTTAGAATATCACTGTTATGTGGGTACATTCATGTAACCACACTGACAACAGAATATCGCTGTTATGTGCACGAAACAGCCACTACATCAAATGCTAGCCATCGAACAACAAAATTCAATTAAATAAGCATAAGATTCGTCTGAGCTTTTCGGGAAATCTAAACATTGATTTCATGAGATTTGCCGAGGCGCAGTTGAACACCATTCAAAATTTGCACAGATACTGTTCAAAAGAAAAAATTGGACAAACCTGACCGATCTTATTCCACAGGGTGCGGTTGTAGGAACAAACACTCAGGCAAGGCAGCGGAAAGCTGGTTGCCGCCGGGGTGGCGCCCCCGAAGTACACAGAGGGGCTAATAGCCACCCCATGAAGACCCTCTCCCCACCACTGGTAGGGAGGAATGCCCAGCCGCGACACATTCGCCGCCGTGTTCACAAGCTGCTCGATCTTCTCTTGAATTGTGAGACGCGAAATCAGGTCCTCCACTCGGTCGTCGTCCGAAATGGACGTGTTGCAGAAGGGGAACAGCAAATCGGCAGGGCCATCGGGGTCGCACGCGTATTGAAGCTTATAGACCTTTATCCTTGGTTTCTCAAACAACTGGGTTGTGAGTAACATAACTCCTAAGAGTATGCAAGCCAGAATGACCGTCTCTGTGGACTTCATGGCTGCTAACTTCTCTTTCAAAATTCAATGACTACAGAAAACTGATCAGCGTGCTCAATTTAACTGCTTAAGTTACACAAGATGAGAATTGTCTGTCGTAAACTATGTATCTGAGTCCTCATCCAACCAGAGCCGGCCAGTAGCTTAAGCTCCAAAACTACATCCTAAACAGCAACACCTCGAGCGCTGCATCAAAAAACTGTGACTAAACAACCAAACAAAAATCGACTCTAGTAGGAACCCAAGAAGAGGATCCCCCCACTATGTCATACAACACAAGGCCGGCAGATGCAAAGGAATCACTCCCCTCCGAGACGCTTTGGAGGCCACCGATTGAAAACATAAACGAAATTTCCAAGATAATGATCGCCACGTGAACAATCCCCACCTCAATGTCACCCAGTGCAAACCCCAATTCTAAGATTCTTCTCCACTCAACCTAACACAGACCTGTCAAAAGGATCCTCACAAAGCGACACCGGGGTTGATGCGAGGATCAGTATAGTAGAACCTAAGCTAACACGCATGCCAACAGTACCATGTCACATCAGCTGCACAATACCATGCACAATGAAAGAGCGTCAATTTAAAAGCAAAACACACTAAACAAAAGAAAAAAAAGAAAAAAAAAGAAAGAAAAAGAGACACAACCACACAACTGAGAGTCACTTTGTCTACTTATTGATCTCAACAAAACTTAATGAACCACATCCAACTGTAAGGCTCAAGCTTACGAAACACACCACCGTGGCCGCGAGATATAGACGGATCTTCAGTCTATGCCGCACAACTCATACCCTCTGGAGGTTAACTACAGTACACTAAGCATGAAAGTTTCAAAACTGAGCTACGAAAACCGGATGCGCAATCAGTTCGAAGGATTCATCGCCATCCCCCGAAACATAGATGCTTGAAATTTCTTCACTTTTACAAAATCCCACTTTGCATTCAGCAGAGTTGCTGTGCCGATTTGAAAAGCTGGACCCACAAAGCTGTGCTGGTCGAGAATCCGATGAGAAATTCCGCGAGGTCAGTGAAAGATCACTTCCGATTGACAAGATCCGTGAAAAGTCACAGTGAAATTCTAAAAGGGTTTGCAGGCACACAGCGGCTTTCGAGCGGTAAAGGAGACAGGGCTTAGGATTCGGATGACCTGGCATGTGACGTGGAGGGGTCCAGGGAGGTGAGCTGGCAATTGGGTGATGTGGATAAGGTGACTCAGCGCTCGCCACACGTGGGGTACCCCCTTTGCCTTTATCTCCTCATTTGATCCACTATTCCACTAGATGGATAAAAGATGTTTGGTCTGTCATGGATATTTTGGTTTTGTTTGTATTCGTTATTGTGGCCTACTGGTAGAATCCATGCTGTTGTAATGGAAAATATGCAAAAAAATTAGTTATTTTTTTATCAAAGAACTACTCCTAAAATTTAACCATGAGAAAGTAAAAATTGTGAAATTTAATTATGTGTTTTATGTAGAGATTTAGATAAAGATGGCTATTGCCCAAAAATCAATGCTTTCCTGATCAACAAAGTACAAGTCATGAAGCCACAAAGACCTCAAATTGCAAGTGCAAGTAAGACTAGAGTTGGACCAAGGGAGTCACTATGATGAATAAACACATCATAAACAACACAATCATTGAGAGAGGTAGTGGAAAAAAGTCTCATGACAACATACTTTACTAAATGACCTCCCTTCTAGTAGCAACTATTCCAATGCATTGTGTATGGGGATTATACAAGTCAAGCTTATTAGGATAGCCAATCAAAAGACCAATTTGTTTCTCTAGTTTATTCCATTGATTCATATTCCTAATAATGTATTTTATATATAGATGTAATGTTGTGTTGTGATTATACAAAAGGTTAATCTAATGTGGTATTGAAACGTAGAAAATTTTGTTTTTTTTGTACAATGACTCTTACATTTCTTCAAATACTAACAAATCTGATTTGATTACTTAAGCATTTCATTTACAATTTAAAATTGCATTGAATCTCTTTCTTTTTATTGATAGGATTGAAAGTGATAAAATGTAGTGTGTAATTTGTGATTAGAAATCACATTAATTTAACCTAGATTAATTATCTAATAGTTTTTTTATTTATTTATTTAGATATAGATAAATTTATAAAAAGAAAATATTTATATTTAGTTATCTTTTCTACCTTGAAAAAAAATCTTAAAAAACATAAGTTCTTTAAACTAAAAAATATTTTAACTTCTATTTACAAATTTGGATAGTAGAATGTCTTGCAAGATTAGTTTATGTATAGTTTCTATTTTTCTAAGCTATTAAAGTAAAAAAATCCTCTTTCTATATAAATAAAAATTTCTATCTTCTATGTCTCATGAGCCACAAATTAACCACTATCACCAAATCCTTCTTTGCAAATTTGAATAATAGATTTGTTCTATAAGGTTGAAATCTTCTTCTTTTTAACAAATTTGTGTAATTTAGTGGAAATTATGTATATTCTCTTTATACTTGCTTCAACATCATAATTTTATTTTAAAGATTTCTTTGTAGTTTTGATAATTATAATAAAGATATTTCTAATTTTACAGACAACATGTCTTATATTTTATATGTCAATAAAATATAACAAACAAATCTTTAAAATATAAAATATAATGGGTGATCATCTTGTTTATTGTCCTATTTATCTACAAGATGGCATTAATAATATGATTCTATTTGTTTCCTTACTTCTTTTTTATTATCCATTTTAATGCTATGTATAAGTTCTTATTGGCCTTCTCAATTTTGCTATTTAAATATAGATAATAGAAATATTCTTTGTGATCATTAATAAAAACTTTACAAAAATATATTTTTATTTTATTCATAATATGTATATAAGAATGTTAAATTAACCAACGTGAACCTTACATCAATCCATTATCAATAAAATACAAACAAGTATTAATCTTTTTATATCATTTGGCATCCTCAAAAAAAAAAAACTTCTTGCCATATCTCTCTTATTGATTCTTCTTCAAGGTTCACTTCTAGCACCTCATAAACTATCCTTTGACATAAAATAATCTTCTTATTGCTTGTTTCTACCTTTGTTATTGATACCTCATACTCAATTTCTATGCTCTTCTTTCAAGCTGCTCCATTACAATCCTTTCTAAGAATTCTATTCTCTATCTATGTCATTCCCTTGCAAAATCACCACATAATTGAGTGCAAAGTAATAGAAGAGATATATTGGCCACTTTAAGATTTTTTATATTTATAAATAAAGTTATCTATTTACTCCCTCATACATTATTTTATAAGCTTTGTTTCATTCTGCTAAATAAAATAACAACTTTTCATAGCAATATATATATATATATATATATATATATATATATATATTATATCTTTTGGATTTAAAAAGAGACTTATGGAATCTATATCATAGTATTCAAAAGCTTTATAAGAATTATTAAATATTATTTGGTATATAGTGTTAAAAATAATCATAAAATATAAAAAATAATAATAAAATATATAACCTCTTTGTAATCTTTATATAATATTATCTAGTAGTTACTAATTATATACTATTTTTATATTATAAAATTTAGATCAAAAATATTATTGTAATTATATATATATATATATATATATATATATATATATATTTTTTTTCTAAATACTATTATCTTTTAAAATTAATAAATTTCTATTTGATACAATACATTCTTTATATAAGTATAAGTTAAATTTATTTTAAAAATATAATTTTTATACTTTTTAATAATATCTTTTAAAATATAAATATTATTTGATATTTATTATTATATTTTAATAATATTTGGTGGTTTTTGCTACCTTAATATTATATATTTCTATATTTAAATCTATGAATTCTAATTTTTAGATAAAAATAAATATTTTAATTTATTTAAAAATAAATTGAATTAAGTTTTTTTTCATATTAGGTCATATTGAAATAGTGCTCTAAGTATCTATTTCAACTTTTTTTTATTTTTTTTTTATTGTATTTGGCTACATAATGAATTATTATATCTACTTGCTATTGCTTCAAAGCAATGTCAATATATTATTGATTGAAAAATAATATCTAAATTATTTGATGTAAAAAAATACGAACCTCTATAAAAAAAATTAAGTTGTTAAAACTTAAATTCAAATTTAGATAATAAAACAGGAGGATTGATAAAGTGATCCAAATTTTTACTAAATCGACATACTCTATCTTAACCATCATTGCATCTTTGTAGTCCCCATGCCTATTCTTGATTGTTCCTCATTCTTAACCATTGTTAAGAATGGGATAGGCAACAAAAGAACAGCTAGAAACGGGGGCAATGGTTGAAAACAAGAGAACAGTTTGAAACAAGGGTGATGGTTGAGAACAAGGGAATGGGTGAGAACAAGGAGAAGGTTGAAAGGGTACAATGATGGTTTAAACATGTACATAAATTTAGTAAAAATTTGGATCACTTTATCATTTTTCAAAATAAAATGTGTTTTATTGGACATATTGATTTATATTAATATTTTTACTTATATTGTTTTTGATGAATTATTTTTTCATAAGATACATTTATTAATTTAGCTTTTTAGTATCAATACTTGTAATAATATTTTTTTATATTTATATTTTTTTATTTTTTGATATTTTTAGAATAGTGAAAAATATTTCATATACATGATAACTAAATTAATCATACTTATCAAATCATATATGAAATTGGTTGAAAGTTTTAGCTATTTTTTATTATAATTTTATATTCTTTTAAATATAATTATATATAATTTCTTGATTTAGTTTTTTTTTTATGTCCACATATATTCTTTTAATAATATATGTTTTAATAGTATTATATTTAACTTTTATATTTTATTTAATGAACTAAACAAAAAAAAAGTTATTATTAGCATTTGAAGAATAATTTTTAGTTTACAATGTGATCCTTCTTATAATTATTATTTTTTTTTTTCTAAAAATGCATATATAAAGTTATTTCTATAAATATTTAGTTTAGTTTTTTAAAATATCTTAATAATATTGTATAAATGAAAGAGTATATAAATAAAGACAAAGATATTATTTATAAGATTATCAATGTATTTTTAAATATGACTTCTTTTAGTCCTTTTACTTAATAGTATTTTTATTGCCATAACAAAAAAATAGAATTTCTACCTAAACACCAAAGTATATAAATAGTTCAATTTTTCATTAAATAATTTTATAAATTTAAAATTCATGTGATAATAGAGTTTTATAGACTATAATATTAATATAAATTAAATATAAACTATTAGTATTTAGTTCTTAAATTTATGTATTGATTATAAAGCCATTTAAGTATCAAATACTTAGTTTAATTATCAAAATTTTATTTAGACTATTATATTTGAATTAGATAAAAATAAAGAGATTTATTTTAGAATGTTTGAATTTTAATTATGCTTCTATGTCAATGAGCTTATCATCAATTTTTTATCTATTAAACACTCCACAACAAAAAATTGTCTATCATAGCCTATATTTGGAAAAAATAGTTATTTTTATTTTTATTTATTTTTATTTATTTTATTCTTTAAGCACTTAAATATTTTCATGTATTAATGATATTTTTCAATATTAAAAATTATCATAATATATTTTTTTCTTAAAGGTGATATTTCTATTTTAAATATTAAATTTATTTTTTATAGATTTTTAAAAAAATTACAATCTGATGTCAAATTATTAATACCAAATATTAGTGAATGCAAACATAAAACTCTATTCAAATATTTAGATTTTTTTTTGATTTATATGAGCTAATGTATAAATATAAGCTAACATTACATTTTTTTATGTGTCTATCTATTTAAGAATTCATCCAAAATTGCTGGCTACTTCTTACATTATTTAAGTATCTTAATAATAAAAAATAATAGGAAAGAACTCAACATCTAAGATTTATATTAAAAAATATATACTATTGATTTTGAATATATTATGTATTATTTTCACAAATATATATATTTAAATTAATAATTATTTAGATT